ATGCGTACCTCGATTGCGACAACAATTGGAGTGTCGGAGCGCTGTAATGCGGTCCGACGGGTCAGAGGAGGGTCCAAATAACGACAAGAATATACCAACATTGACAGCGACAACAATTGGAGTGTCGGAGCGCTGTAATGCGGTCCGACGGGTCAGAGGAGGGTCCAAAGAACGACAGAAATATACGTACACTGATTGCGACAACAATTGGAGTTTCGTTTGATTATCAGTAGTAAATAGAAACCAAGTATTAATGAATCAGAAAATAATTTGACTTGCGTAAATTTATCTCAATATTTTAATCTGCGAATAGTTTAAATCTCAGAAAAGCAATTATTTTTAGTAGTATATGAAGTATAAAAAGAATATTTAAATATTTACATAGAGATTATTACACTCGTTAGCTAATAAAAATTTTATTATAATTATTATTATTGAAATCGTATGATAAATTATTATGAAGATATCAAGCTGTAATAATAATAATAGTGTATAAATCTTTCTAATTACTTTTATATGCCGTAAACCGGGTTATTTCACGACAGAAGAAGAAAGTTTACGACGTCACACTGGGGCCTATAAACATAAGTAAATTTCGTCGAATCGCGGGGTTATTTAAACTATGTATCTCATGAAAGATTAGGGGTAAAATTGTAGAATTATCAGATGAAGAAAGCAAATGTAAACGTTGCAGTAAAAACGGAAAAAATAAAAGACAGAAAATGTAGTAATTAAAGTTTGAAGATAGTTACTACTATAGTATTATAACAAATGAAAAAGGGCTTTCTGATTCATTAACACAGTGTCAACAAGATTTAGTTTTATTTCTATATGTAATAAAAGAATAATATTTTTTGTTTTGTGATAATTAATAAAAGTTAGCAATTCTGTACTAATAAATGAATTTTGTTTGTTTTTCTCCCCCTTTCCTACTTCCCATCGCTGCCGGGTACATTGTCACTAATGGAGTTTATTAAACAACAAACAGGCTATGTCATAGTAACCCAAAGGAACAGGGTAAAACTGCAACAAATACCTTTTACAGTATTTTTTAAAACAATATGTAATAAAAGGGAAAATTTAAATTTTCCTAAAATGACAAATAACGACATAGTTGGTCCAATAACACGATTATTAACATTAAAAAGCCACAAATGAATTTAATAACAACTTTGTAAGAAGATTAAATTATATAAGTAGCTCCTATAGCAGTCGAAAAGTAATAGGGCCTACGGATAATCATATTCATTATCGACACGTATACTTTTTACATTATGTGAATGGCTCAATTGTTTGCAATCTAAATTATAACTTACATTAAACCACTTACCCGAAGACACTCATAATCTATTATGTATAAGCCTTCGAGGTAGGTAATTCTAATAAGGATCTTAATCAATAACTTTCAATAAAAATATGAAAGCCAAATGAGTTGTTGCTGCAGTACCACTCTATTTGAATTTGTACCTCGTCATCAACTAAGATAATGAGTCATGTTAGTATCTAAACGGTAATACCAAACAATGACAAAAGAATAAATCTTTAACCAATGATCATTCAGCTACGAATGGTTAAAAATAGTTCAAATTTTCGATTCATTCACACGTTGACTTCTAGTAGAACAAGATTAAGATGGATCCTCTGAAGATTAACAAAAGAATTTAGCTTTTCGATATTCAAAACAGAGATTTTTTTAAATATGTTTAACAATAAAGAGATGTTAGCAATGAGATCCTTCAGCAATATGCTTCAAGAAGATTCGGACGTGGAAAGATACTGCAAAGATATTGACATAAACATGAAGATGAAAAGTTATTGTGATACCACAAGATGCCTTCTTATCTATATTTATAAACTTTTTGGATATATTGATTTAAATATTATCGAAAAAGAATATTTATACGGTAAGTTTAATTTATTATTTAATTTAATTTGTTTATCTTTAATTAATTAATTAATTATTTATATTTTGATATAGGTCTATATATTAATAACATTTTACACTGAATTTTGTATTTTTTTATATTGAATTTAATTCGGTTTTTAATTAATTTAATTAATATTTTCGAATGAGAATTGTTTTTTTTATTTGTATTGTATGACATTGCGTTTTTTTATTTTTAAATTTTCATTGTTTGTTTTGTGTCCTTTTTCTTGTTTGTAATTCAAAGAATATTGCTCAAGACATGAAGTATAAGCATCTTCAGATGTATCTAGTAAAGTAGAAGTTCGTTAATCCGGCATCACTCTGGTTTGGTAAGTGCCAGATTAGCGAATTTCCATAGTGTATCTGTTTTTACTTTTCCCCGCTCTGTTATTCATATAACAAAGAAAGTATGACGATTGGTAAATAAATGAACCCCAAGATTTTTACATTTTTTGACTCAAAAATTCGAGGGTTTCTTCTGTATTCATGGATGTTAGTGTGTATATACGTGGGAGGGGTACGATTTTGTTCACCCACTTTGAAACTTAGTAATTCCTGTGCTTTTTGTCGAAAATTTCGGAAATTTTACATGGAAGTTTGTGTGTTTGAGGCATTGATGTTACTAAATTTTGGTAGTTAAACTAAAGGGGTGGGGAGATAGATAGAGGTAGATTGTCACATGCCCAGTAGAGTCGGACTTAATAAGTACTTTACTTGTTACTACCATTTACATTTTTTTTAAAATTATAATTTTAGACACAAACACACACATTAATTTTTTAATATTTAAAAAAAAGGATAAAATGTAACACTACCGAATTACTAGAAACGTAAATATGAAACTAAAATAGTGAAATTTTAAAGTTGAGTAAGGCGAATAATGAAGATTTTTCAAGAAATGTTTTATTATAAACTCTTACATTTTACAGGGTGTTAAGAAATTAGACTGACAAAATAAAATGGGTGGAAGAAGGGGTCAATACAAGCAATTTTGTTCCGCAACACATGACTGTCCACTTGTAAAAAGAGTGAAACCTGTATGGCATTTAATTACGTCGTTAGTTCGGTGAAATAGGCAACGTAACACGTGGGCAATTGCCAAGGAGAATGCATCTATAAGTAACTGGTCCCAACTTGGGTGTTAGACACGTGAAGAAAACCTGGAAAACTCCACTGGAAAAGCGGTAACCCACATAGTTTCTTGTAGTTATGTTGACTAACTGTATGTCTATTAGACATAATAGAGTAATTTATATGTCAGACGAGAGCTGACATACATCTTATGTACGGGAAAGCTAAATGCAAAGGACGATTAGCGCAAAGTCTGTATCGTAAATGGTTTCCGCAGCGCCAAATATCCTACCATTCAACATTTTCCTTAATCCATAATAAATTGCTAGCAAAGAAATGTTTTTTAAAAGATCAGATTAAAATGGACGATGGATGACTTTGAAGAACTATTGATTTAACAGCCCTCAACAAGCACGAGAGCTATTGCCCGCTTCGTTGAGACAAATCATGTTAATAGAGGGCAATTTCCCACAGAAAATCCACCCAATTGACAAATTGCCCAAGTGTTACGCTTCCAAGTGTATTCCATATCTTTAATCCAAATACATTTATATTTGCTTTAAAAATTTCTATACTCATTTATATATTTATATCTGTACTTATGTTTTTGAATGTTTGTCCGTCAGAAATTAAAGGAGCAACAAAAGGATCTATCAGGTTTCTCACAGGGCAACTAGCAGTGGACACTGTTGTTGCCTGGGAAGAAAGCAACAAACACATTCAAATTTTGGTTATTTTTAACTTGACCAATGCGAGTATTTCTGCTTAATTTTTATATACATATTTATAATTAATTTGATTTCATTTTAAAGATGATATGGAGGAGGAGAGCATCAATTCAGACACGGAATCCGAAGAAAAAAATTACGTTTCTGAAAATGAATCCGAAGTTAATACAGATGCAAATTTAAAACTTTTATACGTTATTAAGAAATCGAATTTGGAATCCATTCGATCTCCTGGAATTCTTCGATGCAGAAAATTCCGAAGAAAAATATATTTTGTAAGTTTTTCTATTTTAATATTTATATTTTCTAACGTTAAAATTGTAGTTCACAAATACAATCTGCTCTTATTCATATCTACCTGTAGTAATTTGAAATTAAAAAAGTATTAATTAATGTTATATGCTTCAAAATTAAACATTTTTTCTACTATTTGCAAATTATATGATATGCTAGCATTTGTAATTATGATATCATTTTGCTTTTTTTTTTTTTTTTGCAATTAAGTTGCAAATTAAGTCTAGTAACACTGGCGTCTAATTACAGAACGATTCTGTAGCTGTAGTTCTGATTTTTACCACGTCAAGAAGCTGGACAAGTATAATTCTGACTGTGGTGTATATACACCACAGTCAGAATTAATTTATTACGAACAAAATTTGCTACTGTTCGTTTGTTGAACGTCAAATTTGTCTTTTGTCTAACGTTCATTGTTTGTAATTATAGCTTTAAAGGATGATTATTGTTCATTATTTTTATCAAAATATTTAAAATTATAATACAGTATATTATAAAAGTTATTCTACAGAATATGTAGACTTTCGTTCTTAAATTCTTTTAACCTCAAGATTTTCCCGCTGAATTTTCAATCTGTTACTCGATTTTTTTTGTACTGTATTATTTAATAAAATTATTCATTGCTTTTTTAGAAATAATTTAAACGTTTTATAGTAGAAAATTTGCAATATTTTATTTTACAATTAATTAATTAACGTTTATCTTTGAAATGTTCTACAAAACCAAACTCAATTTTCTCCATAGGCATCCTTATTTGGTTTTCCACGAGATTTTAAAAAACCTAACCCTAGAGAATACCAAGAGTTAAATGTATCTTGTGTAATTTGAGTAAAGTCTTTTGAATTGGTAGTTTAAATCTATCAACAAATTATCATCGTCAGTAAAATATTAGTGAAGTTTTTGTAGCCTGATTTAACAGATCTGCAATGATTTATTTGAACGTTAGCTGAGAAAAGAATGCTACAGTATTCATAAGAAAGATGTTTTCTTTATGAAAAAGATTTATTGAAAATTATACATTTGCAACATTTTCATACGCACAATCTATTATTGAATGTTTTCCTTTTGTAAGTACTGTACATTTCTGAATTGAGCGTAGTCACGATCCCGTGTGCCAGAGCCACACGAGTAGAATTTATAAATTCCATGAATTTTTAAACAGTACGACACAGTTAACTTTAGTTGGTTCTCAACTTATCTGTGGCTTTCCATTCGTAGAAATCTGTCAAATACATTACATAATATTTTTAATTACAACTGTATGAGCTGTTAATATTCACGAAAATAATTATTTTAAGATATATTAATTAAATACAGCATTTATAAAATTCAAAACAGAATTTACTTACTTTTCATAGTTTTGAATTCTAGCTTCTCAATTTCACAGGCAAATCCATGTACTGTACAGGTACAGTACTTTCTCCAAATGTTCACGTAATCGAAGGAAAGTAGAAAATCTTTCAGAACATGAAGTTTCACGAAAGAATATAGACTTTTCCTCTACCAGGATTTGCTTATGCGGAGAAATCCCTGGTATAACAAACCTACATGCCTGGAAGCAAATCCCTAGTATAACAAACCTACATGCTTGTTAGTAAGATTTCCTTTTCGGAAGTGCTTATCGCAATAGCAACAAGTATTTTCTAATATATACAACGCAATATTTTCCATAACGATTTCTTAGCAACGTAGCGGGAATACTTCAAAACCAATTTCGATGATAAAGTATTGTTTTAAAGCTAAAATATCGACAAAAAATTCCAAGAACACCGTACAGTACGAGGTATACGCTAGCTGAATCTCATAATAAAAACTAGAACTACGGCTACGGAATCGTTCTGTAATTAGACGCCAGTCTAGTAACGTTTTGTAATTTCTCTACTGAATGCTAAAATATGTTTAAATGGCCTTATAGTAAGGCCATTTAAACAAAGGTAATCGTCTTTCTCCTAGAGTCCTGATTCGAATTTCATCCGGCTTGTCTTATCTTCATAATTGGAACATGTACTGTACATCATTCCCCAATATCATAACCATGCAAATCAAGCCGATTTCAATACTATTCTCAGGAATCGGGTTAATTTGCTTGAATGAGAAGTGAATGATGAACATACTCAAAAAGACCAAATTTAAACCGGATATCTCAATACAGGTAGACTGCTGTCTTATCGTGCAATTATACATAAGTATATTTAAAAATTTAGTAATATTTTTATACGTAATAAGTATGCAAAAATTCAATAAACAATCTTTTTAGGCAATGTCCGAAAGCTCCTATTTTTTGCGCCTGAATGACAAGAATAAAATGAAATGTTTTATCACAATGAGTATGATAGAAAACGTTGAATTTTTTGTTCATGAATTCTCTAAAGAATATATAAATTCCGAATTTTTGGTAAGTATAAAGTTTACTCGTAAAATTAGAAAAAAAAATTGATGAATTAATCCTTTAAATAACTTTTAGAGAACTCTCGATGAAGTGAAGTTTTTCAAATTTGTATTACTCGACTTCGCATTCAAATATGCGGAAAATAAGTTCAAATTCGATCATTTTACCTTATTCCCCTACCAGAAAGGAGACGAAGATATCGTAAAATTCTTTAAAATGATTAAATATTTGATACCATGTTGTAACAAATTCAAGAAACTCGGAATTAACAGTTACATTTCAATACTAAAATATTGCAAATCTTCTAAATTGGGTAAGAAAGATTCAGGAATTAATAAAAAAAATAATAATAATAATTTATGATTTAATCTTAATATTTTTCTGATGATGATCTTTCAGTTTCAGTAAAGAAATCAGTAAAGAAATCAGAAGAGGAAGATACATCACAACGTAGGTTTATAGAAACTTTTAAATCATTGTTTCTATTATACGTCGATGAACTCTTAGAACTTCTGCGAGATTTGGATGGTACCGGATTGAACGATTTAGCAGATAAATTCGTCTGTTATTGCCCACAAGATATTTTCTACGATTGCTTATTAGGTAAAAAAAAATTACTTAACTTTTATTCATTAAATAAACTAAAAATTCGAAGAAGCTAAGTAGTCTTCCTGCCATGCCCAATCGCTAAGAACAGTCTTTCTTCTACTTCTCCTCTCGGGTTTATATGAAAATTAGAGTAGAGACACCCTTTTATTGGAGGCTAACGCCTCTGCAGAATTATGCAAAACAGTTAAAACGTGACCTTATAAGCCAATTAAAAAATACAGTGTAATTTAAATTAAAATATCGTCAGCCATTTTAATAAAAATTATAATTCATTAATTATTTTCATGTTTTTTCATTTATTTATAAAAGCCATAATGATTTTTATTTGAAGATTCTAGAGAAAATTTGGGTAAACTATTAATCCCTAAACGAATATTCAAGTCAATGGATTTGTTGGAAAAGTCATTACTGGTTAGTAATTTTTTAGTACTTAGAACTTAATTATAATTATAATAAATGAAAAACATTTCTATGTAACAATTTATCTTGAAAATAAAATAATTATAGAGTTTATTATCAGTTACTCCCTATTACAGAACACATTAATAGCAATATATCTATTTTCTATTTTCTATATATCTACAAATGGGTGGAAAGTAACTAGGTAAAGAAAAATCGCTATAATTTTTGTAATAATAAAATTTATGTATGCATGTTACATCAATCAATGGAATTTTATAATTTCGGCATGGTTGGTGTGGATAGTGACGGAGTGAAACTACACGCGCAGTGGCACAAAAGATGGCCGACCATTTGTCTGTTCGGGAGGAGCGTAGATTGCTGCACGCTGTGAGGTGTGGAAATCAATGTTTGCCATGCAAAATTAATAGCGTACTGTAAAAGACATTATGCCACAATTCGGCCGGAAACAATCAGAATTGTCATTCGAAACTAAAATGACTACAGATTTGAATGCAGACTCACAGAGAAGTTGTCACCCATCCACAACACGATCTGAGGAACGTATAGTTAGTTGATTGCGCCAGTGTCTATATTCAATTTAAGGTTTGCAGCTATATTTGCACTTATCAATGTACAAGCTAAATAATTTTCATCATCTTTGCATTAGATAGACAGAAATTACATCGATTTATCAATGCTTACTTACTTTTCACCCACACTTATACACTTATTTAGTATAGATCTTTGTACATATTAAATAATAAACATATAAAAAACGCAATAAGCTATACAAATATCGTGTAAAATACTTTAATAATGAATTAATTTTTGTATATTTTAGATAATAAAACTTCACCAGACGAAACTTTTGTGTATGAATTACATGATAGATATCATAAACATTCAACTAATCAAAAATATGCAATTGATTAGAAATGTCATTTCAAAGGATCTTGAAACAGATTTGGTAAGTATCTTCAAGACTTTAATAAATTATGTTTCAAAGCAAAATAGAATTAATTATTTCATATTTTTTCATCTGAAAGTTGCTGATTAGTGAGATGAATCTGTACAAGTTAGCTTATATAGACATTGCCCTGAAGTACAAGAAACATTTAAACTTCATTGATTTCTCTTACGCTTCCGTCATTTTGTCCATAGTTGATGACAAACACGAGGAATTCGTAAACAATATAACGACACTATCCGACTTAGTTAACAATTTTTCTAAGGAATTCGGAAAGATTTTTATAAAAATTTTAANATGATCGGGAGTTATGACACTTACCATAATTAATAACCCGAGAGACTACGCCAAAGCGTCAACAATTCTTCTCGGTAAACACTGAAGGGTTTACTTCAAATTCGGTAATTTGGCGGCTTCTTTTGTCTATTTTTCTTGCTAGCAATATATCTATTTTCTATTTTCTATATATCTACAAATGGGTGGAAAGTAACTAGGTAAAGAAAAATCGCTATAATTTTTGTAATAATAAAATTTATGTATGCATGTTACATCAATCAATGGAATTTTATAATTTCGGCATGGTTGGTGTGGATAGTGACGGAGTGAAACTACACGCGCAGTGGCACAAAAGATGGCCGACCATTTGTCTGTTCGGGAGGAGCGTAGATTGCTGCACGCTGTGAGGTGTGGAAATCAATGTTTGCCGTGCAAAATTAATAGCGTACTGTAAAAGACATTATGCCACAATTCGGCCGGAAACAATCAGAATTGTCATTCGAAACTAAAATGACTACAGATTTGAATGCAGACTCACAGAGAAGTTGTCACCCATCCACAACACGATCTGAGGAACGTATAGTTAGTTGATTGCGCCAGTGTCTATATTCAATTTAAGGTTTGCAGCTATATTTGCACTTATCAATGTACAAGCTAAATAATTTTCATCATCTTTGCATTAGATAGACAGAAATTACATCGATTTATCAATGCTTACTTACTTTTCACCCACACTTATACACTTATTTAGTATAGATCTTTGTACATATTAAATAATAAACATATAAAAAACGCAATAAGCTATACAAATATCGTGTAAAATACTTTAATAATGAATTAATTTTTGTATATTTTAGATAATAAAACTTCACCAGACGAAACTTTTGTGTATGAATTACATGATAGATATCATAAACATTCAACTAATCAAAAATATGCAATTGATTAGAAATGTCATTTCAAAGGATCTTGAAACAGATTTGGTAAGTATCTTCAAGACTTTAATAAATTATGTTTCAAAGCAAAATAGAATTAATTATTTCATATTTTTTCATCTGAAAGTTGCTGATTAGTGAGATGAATCTGTACAAGTTAGCTTATATAGACATTGCCCTGAAGTACAAGAAACATTTAAACTTCATTGATTTCTCTTACGCTTCCGTCATTTTGTCCATAGTTGATGACAAACACGAGGAATTCGTAAACAATATAACGACACTATCCGACTTAGTTAACAATTTTTCTAAGGAATTCGGAAAGATTTTTATAAAAATTTTAAAGATTTGGATATTTTTAGAACACGGTAATTTATTTATTTACTTTTTGTTCTTGTGATTAATTAAAAATTAATGTTATTTTCAATTGTATTTTATAGATCTCGAAACGGAAAACATAAGATCGTATCATCCGAGAAATATTCATATAATTAGAAGGAGATATCGTTATCGGTTATTAAATTATGGAATATATCCCCTTATGCTATCAGAAAAGCTGGAAAGATTTCGTAAAATCTTAAATCATAGCGTGAAGAATATCATTAAACTGTATAAGCCGCAATGTTACGTAATCTTGGATGTATTTAATGATTGCCAATCCGGTAAGTCGAAGGAATATTTTGAACTTTCCTGGGAAAATTATAGGCCAATTATAATAAAAAATGTATAAAATTTAATTACGATGTAATAATTATTTTTAATTACATTGCTGTTGCTCATTCATTAGCTTGAATTATGTACGTGACAAAATTTTTAATGTAAAATTAGAAAAATGTTTATTAATAATTATTATAATTTAATATTTATTANATTATTGGATTTTCTTGCTGCATGATATTTTTATTTATTTTATCAAATATGTAACAGCACCCTTTTTTGAGTTTTAAACTCAACAAAATGGAATCATTTCTTCATTTAAGAATTTATTTTTATTTGAAATAGGAAAGTTTTTGTGTTTCAATGTTTATCTTAACAATAAACATTAATCTCTTGAAACATACAATATTCATAGCTAAGATTCAGACTTTTCCTCAGCAATAATATACACAGTACTATCCTTGATACAACAAACAAAGTAGCAAAGTGGTCACAAATGTCACCTGACCAGAAGTTTAAGACATGTGCAATTTTGACAGCTCATGTCATTCAGCAGATGAAAGATCAGCTATCTAGGGTTAAATTGAATAAATTTTAGCTATTTATTCAAGTTTTAATGAGTAGATTAGTTTGACAGTGATTTTGAAAATTCATTTAAGTATATGCAAAATATACATAATGAATGATTTTCAAACATGCATAAAATATTTTGAGATTTAAATAATAATTATAATTTATTACACATGTTAAAATTTTAATATGTCCATATACATATTTGAAGAAATCTAACGATTATTTAGTAAAAATAAACTAAACTCTGTAATAATTACCAATTTTTTTTATAGTATATATAGAAATGTTGATTTGATGTTTAAAATTTCTAAATTTTAATATTAAATTTAAATTTATAAAAAAATTAATTTTAGAAATATATTATTCAAATATTAAATGAATTCTTTACAGTTGTTGCTACATACAATATGTATCAGAAGTTCCAACATTTAAAATTGTAATAATCAACTGAAAGTTTGGAATGTAAATTCTAAAAGGTAAATTGAATTTTATGTTAAAAATACATTGATTTATAATCGTGTTTTTAAAATGGTTTACGTAATTCCAGATACGATCGCTTATAATGGGGATAACAACAAATGAAGGTATAACTTCTGAAGGTATAACTAAAGTAGGCCTACTTCGAGTCTGTCTTGATGTGATAAGCCCTCCAATTTATTAAAACCCTATCTATTACGATAACTAATTCAATCGAAATAAAAAATGGCCGTAGTAGTCGGTCACGGGTTCGCGCCTGATTCCGGAAAACTCCACGTGCTAGCCCAGGCACGTGGAGTTTTCTGGGCTTTCTTCACGTTCCAAAATATAAATAGAAGAAAATGGCCTCGAAAAGACTTCTTGAGAGACACCTCTGCTTGGCATATCGGGAGACATCGTGTCAAATGTTTCATCAATCCAACGTCTGAGCTAAATGACAACGAAATCAATTTTATAAAATTAAGTATATTTAAAAATTTATATCAAACAGAAAAATCACATTGTGATATATTTTATATAATGTAAATCAATGTAAATATATTTTCAATGAAGTCACTTCATACTTTTGTCACCGGAAAAGTCTTGTTCTTCAATTGTTTATAATAAAATATTTTCTTATTAATATCTTTATTGTCGTTTTGTAATTTGTGAAACAATAAAATGGTAAGAAATTCGATATTAATTTCATATAGACAAACTCTTCATTGTTTTCTTAATATACTCTAGGTTTATTAAGAAAAATAATTATTAATATACTAAATTATTGTAATTACAGCTATTCATCATTGTCTTGAGAGAGATTCAGCAGTTTAAATGCAACCAAATTTGGTATGATGACATTTCATGATATGCTGAAGACATTTCTATAAAAAAAAATAGATGTTACCAAACTCACTACTATTGTACTTTAGATGCTGTAAATACCAAAAAAGTTTCGTTTATGATGATACTTGAAAAGTGTGTCCAAACGAAACTGCTTTATCGTGGACATGTTGAAAATTTGGCAGCATTAGAAAACAGTATCACTCTGCATGTAAAAAAAGTCAAAAAGGATCCATTATGGTCGACCATTGAACATTCTATCTCAGTCACTCAAGAACTTAAACATTCTCCATTCGCGACCCTCTTTTACTCGCCTCCCGTATATAAGTATTTGAAATAGATATACAAATAAAGCCAATCAATGATAATCATAAAACAGTTTATTCAAAATAATTCTTTGATGTATTGTATATGATTTCACCATTAGAAACAGCACATCCCCGTACTAAACGTAGGCGAAGGGAAAAAACGACGAGGGTGGGATTCGAACCCACGCGGGTATAACCCAATGGATTAGCAGTCCATCACCTTAACCACTCGGTCACCTCGTCGTCGAACATGTTCGCATCTTTCGTTACATGCATTTTCATTAATCTGTCCACAACGGTTGGCACCAATTACAATATTGACTGCAGCAGCGTGGCGAATGATCGGGAGTTATGACACTTACCATAATTAATAACCCGAGAGACTACGCCAAAGCGTCAACAATTCTTCTCGGTAAACACTGAAGGGTTTACTTCAAATTCGGTAATTTGGCGGCTTCTTTTGTCTATTTTTCTTGCACCGCATTTGCCGAATGCCAACGTTCTGAAACAGTGTAACACTGAACGCTCAAAATGCGAGATTTAATCAGCAGCAACATTACCGAATTTGCCAGAAGCAAAATACTTCACGTAAATTTGTAGACTTCACATACGTTCCGTCGATAGCTCAGCTGGTAGAGTGGTGGACTGTAGTAGAGTAGTTATTCATAGGTCGGTGATTCAAATCCGCCTCGACGGAAGCACTTTTTTTACCCTTGTTTCTGTGATAGGAGGCATACATACGAAATATAGTAATTCTAAATTGCACAATTCAATGTGTTTCGAAGAGACATGAACGCGAAATACCGGCTCCGAATGCTTTCAGATTATACTTTTTTCCGGTTGCAGACATGGTATTTTATGCAGACATTACGAGGTACGACATCGTAGAACTCTGCCAACTTTCCCACTCATCTAAATTTTCTAATCTATTCTCTGCGTCTCCGTGAAAAATAATCACAACGTGCAAAGGTAATGTAAGAATTCCGAGCGAAATTGCAAAATATTTCTATGTCTTTGCTCTACCAGATGAGCTATGGATGGAACGAATGCGAAGTCTACAAATTTACCTGAAGTATTTTGCTTCTGGTAAATTCGGTAATGTTGCTGCTGATTAAGTCTCGCATTTTGAGCGTTCAGCATTACACTGTTTCAGAACATTGGCATTCGGCAAATGCGGTGCAAGAAAAAATAGACAAAAGAAGCCGCCAAATTACCGAATTTGAAGTAAACCCTTCAGTGTTTACCGAGAAGAATTGTTGACGCTTTGGCGTAGTCTCTTGGGTTATTAATTATGGTAAGTGTCATCACTCCCGATCATTCGCCATGCTGCTGCAGCCAATATTGTCTGGGGTTATGGCCAGATTAGTGAAAATGCATGTAACGAAAGATGTGAACGTATTCGACGACGAGGTGACCGAGCGGTTAAGGTGATGGACTGCTAATCCATTGGGTTATACCCGCGTGGGTTCGAATCCCACCCTCGTCGTTTTTTTCCCTTCGCCTACGTTTAGTACGGAGCTGTGCTATAATGAAATCAGCACTAATTCTGGGCTATTAGTCGCCTTCGTGTTAGAAATTCTTTAGTATATTCATCTAGATTTTCAGATGTTTCCTGAACGAAATCTAATGTTGTATAAACAATTGTTACATAGAATTGTATTTTAAACATTTCTTTTGGATTTACGATTTGTTCACCAGAACTTTCATAATCAAAATGGCGAACTTTAGTTGTACTATTAACAACTGGAAATTCTGCCACTACATTTACTTCCACAGCTAAAACGTCACGTATTTATTAAATGTTTTATGAGATCTGACTGCACTAAAAATTCAACAAGCCCACTCAAAATATTAAGAGATTCATTTACGTTGAATTGAGGACACTACGACATTTTACAACAACAATTTTTGAAACAATATCGTTCCATGTAACGACCGAGCAAATAAACTTGAAAGATCTTGAATATCTAATTTATAATCTGTTAAGAGTTCATTTAAAAGATAATTATACAGGATGGGAAAGAAAGTCATTTAACACCCCTGCTACAGAATGTAGAATATACCTAAAGAATGTACAATACAGTACATTGAGCACGCCATTTAACGTTTATAACACTGTAACCATTCAAGGTAGTTCAATAAAATCTTTCAGAAAGCAATTGCGAAATTCTGACCCTAAATCGTGTGTAAAATTCCCGTGAATCTTACTAAATAGTTCGAGAATAGTGAAATAGTAAGGTAAGGATGCCGAATATGAGATACCATTTTTATTTTTGACTATAAAAAAATAACTATTACACTTGGAGCTTTACAAATTACAATTTTGAATAGGGAATTTAATATATTTAACAATATAATTGCTATTTAGTCCTAAGCATAATACATTTTTAGTTATATTAGATAAAATGAAAAAAGTCCGAAATCACGTCTTAGGTAAATGGTCTCCTATTATGAGATACTACGGGTACCCCAGATTCTGGACAGTCTTGACCCGTCCAGATTCGATCCCGGGTCCCCCAGAGCGGTAGGCTGTCACCGTGACCTCTTGGCCATCCGGCCTTTTCTGGGGTATCCTAAGGAACACCGAATTGTTTTGATGCCTTTAAGTAACCTATTTGATTGCTCCGTACTGCATCCACGGATCGTATCATGGCACTGTGGTGCCAGGTTTTCCTTTTAATTGGGGCCATCTAAAATATATAAAAAAAGAACTTAAACTAATACGTATACTTTCACCTCATATATGAAATGAAATATCTCATATTAGGAACCCTCATGTGTCTCATATTGGGAACACATTCAAATTTTACAAAACGGCTGCCTACTTTTTTTACTGACAAAGAAAACAATAGTACTGCACTAATATCGTGAAATTGACCGTATAATTGATACAATGAATGTAAATTAAAAGAATTTAGCGTAATAATAACATTGTTACATACCTCGTAAACATTTAATGTCAAAAAATTTGTTTTGTGCTTTTGTGAAAATCTGCACACCCACGATCTAACAGCACCTCTGGCCAGCGTGCACTGACACACGTTTGGAGCTATTGCCAGGACGCTTCGGAAAACACTAGAGCCAAATAGTTGCCGTTAATAGTTTGGCCAAAACCTTGGTATCTCATATTTGGCGCCTATCTCATAATAGGCATCTTTACCTTAGTGTCTGAGGAAGTAAAGGGATACAAGGCTTAACACATTACACATTTATTTAACATATATCTTTGCAAGTACAGAACAGGGCCAAAAAGAGGTAGGTTCCCTCGGTTTCACATCTTATATATCGGGCAGCATCGCCTTCGGGCGCTGCGCTTGATGCCCCCTTTACAAGCCGTGGTAAAACACGACATGACATTATGTGTTACATGACCCATTTTCGATTCTGGCCTGGTTAATTCAACAAAGATTAAATTTAACAGACCTTGCGCTAAACCAGTGGCCGAGTGGATAAAACTACTGAACACTGGATCGGGTCTCACCAACGGGTTATCCATGTGGGATCATCCGAGTTTTCTTCACTTATGTAAGTAATTAGGGAGAAGTTTCCATAAAAGTCCTCCTGGGAGACACCCCATTGACAGATCGTCCAAGTATTGCATTGCCTTACTCCATCCATTCAATTACTTAGCTTCAATATTTAATACCATAATTCAGTTTTTAAAGCATATATTAATGAATACACTTATTTTTATTAATTATTTATTAATATTATATAATAAACCTTTTATTTTGATTGTCATTAATACGGTTTTGGAAAGACCTAAGAATATCATTAACTACTTAAAATTATTTAAATTACCGTCAATTTTACTACAAATGTCAGTAAAATTTATTTAAAATATTTATTTAAATAAACGAAATTAAAATATTTTAAAAAATATATTTAATTAATGTCGAATAATTCCAGAGGGATGGAAAATTTATAAAATCTTTGTGTTAGTGGAGTAGGCGACCTTTAACCAAGAGTGTATTTTAAATGTTTTTAACTTTGAAGTTATATTAAAGTGAGTAATATTGTTAATATATTTAAAATAAAATCATAATTTTTAATTAAATTTTTATTTTTACAGGATTTTTATAAAATATTTCTGCACTTTTATGTATTTAAGATAAAGAATGATAGATCTTACTGCCAAATTAGTGGAAGCTCTTTCAAAGCTTTATAACTCCATACCAAAATTAGAAAACAAGAGAGATATAGATGAACATATTTTTAACGATTTTAGAAATGAAATGGATTCGGTCATCTTAAATCACCCAGCAAAAGTTGGTGAAACGTATTATTACGCATTGAAAAGAATGTATTGTTTACATAATAGAAATATTTACGTTCGTAAGTTGGTTTTATTTAAATATATTAAACATTTAAAATTATGTATTAACTTTTATTTACGTGTAAGTTGTGCATCTTAATTAAGCCTGTAGATAGTTTTTGATAGATTTGTCAGTACTGTATTTTGATTTGCTTTCATGTTTTTTTGCAAACATGAGTAAAATTGCAGCACTTGAATGAGACGATTACGTCCTTACCCAAGCTGTATACCATGCCAATAGGATTTAAAAAAAGACAAATCAACCGATGACCTTTCGTGAGATATAGCAGTGTAGTATACAGTGTGTGTATAATACAGCGTGAGTAAAATATTTATAAAAGATAAGGGAATTATTGGAGTGAAATGCAGTTTGCATGGTAAGTATTGCCAGCAATGGAGTTCTTTGACGAGAGGGACATTAGCTTAAAAATTATAGATAAGTGGAGCTGTCACCAATGAATACCCGAGAATTCTTACACCTCATTATTTACAATGATGAGGTGTAAGAATTCACGGGTATTCATTGAAGATCCGTCCAACCGGACGTGCTGCGCCATGCACTCGCGGCTGTTGTTACTTGATTGAATTTTACCCCAGTTTTTAAAATTCCAGATAAATTACTTTCAGAGGGCTGTATCTCGTGAAGGATTGCATAGATCATCATTTGGCATTTTACTCCTGTGGGCATGGTCTACAGCTCTGATAGGTTCCAATTGCCTCTTTCAGAGATGCAATTTTTCCACGTTTTGCGTGATAGATATTATTTTGGTCTTGATCGATTTGATAGTTTCTGAGTAGATGACATTGATAAGATCAAGTTAGCAGTTATGTAATTGTAAAATGAAAATCCCAAATCTTTTAATACGTATTTTTTTAGCCATCGTGTTAAATATATTTTACAACAAAGAATTTTTACAGAATGAATTTTGAAAATAATTCAAATGAATCATTTTATTTTTCAGCTCGTTCGTTAATGTTGCATTGCTCATTAAAAATGCGCAAAGATGAAATTCAGCAATTAGTCACATTACCTAAAAAATATAAATTAGTTGTACCTAGGAAAATGGAAATAATATACGCTTTGCAGCATAAAATGGCTATTGGGAACAACTTATTAAAAAGAAGAGCCCTCACTGTAAGTTTTGAATAATTTTAATTATATTAGTCAGAAAATTGTTTAATTTTGTAGAAAGGTGGACCCACAAGGCTACAAGGGCTTTAANTTTTTATAAAATATTTCTGCACTTTTATGTATTTAAGATAAAGAATGATAGATCTTACTGCCAAATTAGTGGAAGCTCTTTCAAAGCTTTATAACTCCATACCAAAATTAGAAAACAAGAGAGATATAGATGAACATATTTTTAACGATTTTAGAAATGAAATGGATTCGGTCATCTTAAATCACCCAGCAAAAGTTGGTGAAACGTATTATTACGCATTGAAAAGAATGTATTGTTTACATAATAGAAATATTTACGTTCGTAAGTTGGTTGTATTTAAATATATTAAACATTTAAAATTATGTATTAACTTTTATTTACGTGTAAGTTGTGCATCTTAATTAAGCCTGTAGATAGTTTTTGATAGATTTGTCAGTACTGTATTTTGATTTGCTTTCATGTTTTTTTGCAAACATGAGTAAAATTGCAGCACTTGAATGAGACGATTACGTCCTTACCAAAGCTGTATACCATGCCAATAGGATTTAAAAAAAGACAAATCAACCGATGACCTTTCGTGAGATATAGCAGTGTAGTATACAGTGTGTGTATAATACAGCGTGAGCAAAAAGTTTATAAAAGATAAGGGAATTATTGGAGTGAAATGCAGTTTGCATGGTAAGTATTGCCAGCAATGGAGTTCTTTGACGAGAGGGACATTAGCTTAAAAATTATAGATAAGTGGAGCTGTCACCAATGAATACCCGAGAATTCTTACACCTCATTATTTACAATGATAAGGTGTAAGAATTCACGGGTATTCATTGAAGATCCGTCCAACCGGACGTGCTGCGCCATGCACTCGCGGCTGTTGTTACTTGATTGAATTTTACCCCAGTTTTTAAAATTCCAGATAAATTACTTTCAGAGGGCTGTATCTCGTGAAGGATTGCATAGATCATCATTTGGCATTTTACTCCTGTGGGCATGGTCTACAGCTCTGATAGGTTACAATTGCCTCTTTCCAGAGATGCAATTTTTCCACGTTTTGCGTGATAGATATTATTTTGGTCTTGATCGATTTGATAGTTTCTGAGTAGATGACATTGATAAGATCAAGTTAGCAGTTATGTAATTGTAAAATGAAAATCCCAAATCTTTTAATACGTATTTTTTTAGCCATCGTGTTAAATATATTTTACAACAAAGAATTTTTACAGAATGAATTTTGAAAATAATTCAAATGAATCATTTTATTTTTCAGCTCGTTCGTTAATGTTGCATTGCTCATTAAAAATGCGCAAAGATGAAATTCAGCAATTAGTCACATTACCTAAAAAATATAAATTAGTTGTACCTAGGAAAATGGAAATAATATACGCTTTGCAGCATAAAATGGCTATTGGGAACAACTTATTAAAAAGAAGAGCCCTCACTGTAAGTTTTGAATAATTTTAATTATATTAGTCAGAAAATTGTTTAATTTTGTAGAAAGGTGGATCCACAAGGCTACAAGGGCTTTAAGAAAAACCCCCTATTAAAATTTATTTATTTGAACATCTGTCATTTTTATAGACATTTATTCTGTTCCTTTAAATGAAACAGACTGTAGTGGAAACACTGAAAATTTTAAGAGAAGAGTAGGGCGCTACTGTATAGGAAGAAGGGAGGGTACTTCCCACAATATTCGTAAGTTACTTCCCACAATATTCGTAAGTTACATCGTCCCGTTTCTTCTACAGGCGTACTCTCGAGGGCCTGTCTATAGAACTACATACTCGAGCATTTGTGTCGAGTGCTAAGCATATGAGCATTTGTGCTTATTCATGCATGCCCATTAATTTTACTTTCCCGGCTGTTATTACATAACACGAGAAAGTATTGTAATTATGTAAAATTTTTCTCGTTGGATATTTTTCACATCTCCACATTTTGAAACCACTTGAACCTAGGAAACAAAATCTGGCGTGGTAACTTGTATATAAGAGGATTGATGCTATTAAATTGCGGCGTACGCAATTCAAGGAGTAAAGAGGTAGAATGACTCATCTCTCGTATCTCGAATGGGTTTGAACTTAATGAACATTTTAATTGTTATTGACATTTATAATATTTTCAAAAACTCGTCTCTACAATTAAAATTAAGCACTTTCTGCCTTTTTATAATAATTAATAATATAAAAGTTATTTTTTTACCACAGAAAATAGAGCAAAAGCATTTGCTAGATACTTTTTATTTTAAACTTTTTCTCATGACTTATTTAATTTTAGTTATTAAAATAAAAAATTAAAAAGGTTAAACATGGCATTTAATTGTTGTTTTCTTAGTAAAATTTGTTTTTATAGCTATATGAAGGCCTAGCATCAACCGTTCAGACAGCAAATTTATTGTTAACGTAAATTTTTTTTCTCGTAGGAATTATACGAAAATAGTCATTTCCTGTATTTAAGCGACAGAAAGAAGATGAAAGTTATCCTTACTTTAGTTATGATCGACAATATGGAATTACTCTTGAGAGGACAACTATCTAACATGGAACACGAAACTGTGGTATGAAGTTTATTTGAAAATCAAAAATTATTGTTATAAATCTTTATAATATTCATATATTTAATATTTTCAAGTTCAAACAGTTGGACGACCACTTTTTTAAACTTGTCCTACTGGATTTTGCCCTGAAATTCGATGCATTCAAAGCGGAATTTAAGTACTTCACCTTCTTTCCTTCAGTCAGCCAAGATTATAACGTTCGACAATTTGTAGAAACGTCTATTTTGTTCAACCAATTTAAAATAGTGGCAGATGAAGAGATAATAGATAAAATCAAGTTTAGCATAATCTTCAAAATACGTATGAAAAGTTTAAGTTCAAATTCCTCCTTTTACAAATTAACTGCTGGTATAATTTATTGCGTTATACATTCTTCTTAAATTTGTTTTTAAAATTAGATGACATTGAAAAAACATTTAAACCACTTCGAGACAAAGATAAAAATGAAGTTTATAATAAATTAATTAAAACGATAGGAAAACTTTTAAAAATGATACATGGACTAGATGTAAAAGAATTGAATGACGTGATATATAGCTTCGATTGTTACGATCCTAATTATGTTTACCGGCAATGTAAATCAGGTATGTAGAGATATTTATTGTAAAATTGATATAATAAGACTTAGAAATAATAGATTAATTTTAAAATATGTAATTTTTCCTCCTTTTTAACTTTCCTGTGGGCAATAAGTGGTCTTTTTCTTATATCCATCGTGAGGTAAGGAAAAAAGGGTAGGCCCCCTGTGTTTGGCCCCAGCGGCGGCCTTATCCATTGCGAGGCTCTGGGCGGCAGATCTTTGCGAGGCCCTTGTCTTTTGTGCAAAGTATGTAAATTGAAATAGTAGGAACTTCTTAATATTAATATATACTGTACTATAAATTAAATTTATTTTATTGTTATAACTAATAGCCAAGGATAAAATAAAAAGTTTTAAATATCAACTTTTTTCTACTTGGTTGTTGCGCGAGGCCCCTCCAAGAGCGAGGCCCCGGGCTGTTCGCCACCCCCTAAGGCCGCCACTGTTTGGCCCACATTATGACCCCATTTATATATATATATACTATTTCCACCCTGTGGGCACTAAGAGGGCCTTATATCGCGGCCGGATGGCCGAATAGCCAAGGATAAAATAAAAAGTTTTAAATATCAACTTTTTTCTACTTGGTTGTTGCGCGAGGCCCCTCCAAGAGCGAGGCCCCGGGCTGTTCGCCACCCCCTAAGGCCGCCACTGTTTGGCCCACATTATGACCCCATTTATATATATATATACTATTTCCACCCTGTGGGCACTAAGAGGGCCTTATATCGCGGCCGGATGGCCGAGCGGTCAAGGTGGCAGCCTACTGCTCTGGGGGATCCGGGATCGAATCCGAACGGGTCGAAAAATCCCCAGGAATTTTTCGGGGGTGGTCCATTCGGATATGTCGGGCCCCGTCCGTCACCACCCGGCAGCCCCATTGTGGGCCTGGCCGAATCCATAATGGGTTTGCAAAAAGAGGGCTTAGTGCCCACAGGGCGGAAAGAGTTAAAAAAGAGGACCTTATATAGCAGGCTCATTATGAATTCGGCCAGGCGCACAATGGGGCGACCGGGTGATGAGGGACGGGGCCCGACATATCCGAACAGACCTCTCCGAAAAATTCCTGGGGATTCCTTGACCCGTCCGGATTCGATCCCGGGTCCCCCAGAGTGGTAGGCTTCCACCTTGACCGCTCGGCCATCCTGCCGTTATGACCCAATTTTGGGCTTATGTGAGAATCAAGCCCACAATGGGCTGGCCGAATGATGGAACAGAACACACGTATACGGACGCGCTTTTTTACAACAGATCGTTATGTTATGTGAAATATTTTGTGACGTTTCAATTCTATTTTATTTCTCATTTGAAAAAGTTGAATGTAAAAAGTATAGGATGAAATAATAAAATACAGGAAAGATTCAACAAATGTAAGCAATTTTGAAAACGGAGAGTTGTCTTAATACCTTTGATTCCTTTTATGATATAAATTCTTGAAGTTGTTGCTCACTTTTGGATCCACTACTACGTCATGTATTCCTTGTATTTTACTTATTCATCTACATTAAAAAATATTATGACTAAAACAATATTTTTTGTTTAAGAGTTACGAGCATCTTCATTTCTAAATGATTGTAAACTCCTTAAGAATTGTAAGTTAGTGGTTTCGGAAGGCGTTTATAGATCAATGGCTCTTCGAAGAAATGCAAATAAAGTAAGTTCAGTTTTTTTAGTCTAAATCTTAAAATTATTTTTTTAAAATAATTAATTTTATTATATAAAATAGGAACTGATAACATACTCGATACCAAGTTACCATACACACGTTGCAAGAAATTCAATAAACTTGCTCTTAATTAGCAATATGGAGTTCATAAAAACTGCATTACCATGGACAAGATTGAGGAAACATGGCGTGGTATGTAATTAATTATTGACTTTTGTAATGTATTTATGGAGAAATTTATAGAAAATAATTTATATATATAAATATATTTATTTAAGTTCAAGTTTCTGGAAGATAACCTGTTTAAAATGGTCTTAATCGATTTCGCCAAGGCATATGATGTACGTTCAAAAATTATTCCTTTGACTTATGGAAATGTTATCATAGAAATGTTAGGAGTAGACTTTATAGGTTTGAATGCATTTTTTCTTGGCGCCTATTGTTCAATAAGAAGATTGCACAGATTAAAAATTAAAATTGAATGTTTCGAATTATTGAAGATTTGGATTTTTTTAAGAGAAGGTAAGACTATTCAAATAAACATTGTTTAATTAAGCAATATACAGTAAAACCTTCAAAAAATGGCGTAGTTTGGAGATTATTTTGTACACAATTTTGTTCAAAAATGTTTCGTGATTAAAAACGGCCACTGTTTAGAATTGGCAGTTATTGGAGGTTTATTTGTATATACAGTTTATTAGAATTTTTAATTTTTGGCGCTAGTTGGCCTTCATTTGTAATAAAATAAGGCTTATCACGTCCTCTTTTCAACTCACTTCGATTCGATTTCTGAACATTCGATCTTTGTATCAAAGTGTAATATACTGTTGAGATTGAAGAGAGATTTGCGCGATTTATTGCATACAATTTACACGTACTGTACATATTATATGTATTATGTAAATTTTATTACAGGACCACTATTATATAAATATAAGGGCAGTGAGTTAATAGAACTATATTTTTAAAACGGATAAAACAGGTTTGAATAGCTGCATGTTCCAAATTTAATAAGCCCTTAAAATATATCTCGGCTTTCTGTTTAATGAAAGACTGCGTGGCCTAGTAAAGCGGCTTTAATTAATACAGTTAGATAAGCAAGTCAATGATACAGACCATTTCATTTGAAACAGACTATTTTATGGTTTGCTTATCCAGCTGTATTAAAGATTCTCTTCCAGGCAACGTGCCCAAAGACATGACAGTTTGTCACATTCGAAGTATCATTAGGCCAGTGGCGCTGGAGTACCACAGCCTTATGGTACTCACGAATTTGAATAAGGGGGCCCCGTGTACATTTTTTCTTTGGGGAATTTTTTCTTATAAAAGGTTTGGGGTTCCCTGTTAGTGGGAGTCTCGGACGATTGCCTCTTTTTTGCCTGTAGGATAACGTTCCACTGATTAGTTCGCTTTCGGATCGTGCGAAGTGAACAATGACACTTCACACCATGGATACTTGTACTGTGAAGTGTCTGTGTGGCGTGAAGTGTAGCCTCGCAATACCCTGCAGCTTATTCGGCCAACATTCAATGCCCTAGTTTTATCCATTCGGAGAATCATCCGAATCGAGAGAAAGGAGCCTTATAGTCTGCAAGTATTTCAGGGCATGTGAGATACCTTTTTCTATAAGCCCAAATTTCTTTTAAAAAACTTATCTATCTTACCCAGCATTAAAACCGTTTAATTTTATATTTGAGTTTCCCTCCTGTACGAGATTTTGGTAGGACCTTAATCTCTCAACTGTATTTAAAGTTATGCTAAAATGTGGCAAAACTACATTTCGAAATGAAAATACTTAACAAATTTTTCATGGGGGTGGTTTAAGATTACATTTTTAAAATGGGCAATCGTAAAAGGTAACCATTACAGGGACGTTGCGTGCGTGCGAGTGTGAGTGTATCAGCTCTCATTCTTAAGTAGATAAAATTTGATATTTTAAGAATTATATTTTTATGTTAAACACAGATAAACGGAAACGTTTCATAAGAATTCGTCGACAATACGAGAAAGAATTAATTGAATTCAGTCCGAAAAATAAACTTAGAATACAGGAAGTTTTGAATGAGTTATCATTTACTGTTGACAGATACACTGAAAAATTCCGAGAATTGTGCAAACATTTGCATTGTTATGATATTAGAGATTTACATAAGGATTCTCATAGAGGTAAGTGAATTTTTATTTTGCAATTATCTATATAATTTATTGATTGAAAGAGGGTTTCAATTTGTCGGACTTTGAGTAAATGGCTGGGGATAAAAATATAATTCAGATATCAAAGCTCTTATCCTGTAGACGATGCCGCTGAAGACAGATTTCAGAAAGGTACAATGGTTCAGAAGTGGCAAAGGTACCGTACATGTTAAGTCTATGGGGCAAACACTGCTGTTAACTTTAGCCCGAGTAATTTTTTGGTGTTTTGCAGTTTCATTATTGTAAATACTGAGGTCAATAAATGTACATTTTAGTTACTAAGACCATTGTTTTTAGAACCCTCTCCCAACTCACCTCACTAACCCTCCACCCTCAGAAAGGCCCAAGCAACGCAGGGCATACGCAGCTAGTTTTGTATAATGTAAAGAGGTCGAAGTGTTCAATATTGAGGTTTTCTCCGTGCCTGGGGAAAAATCCTCAGTTCTCCTTCCCTGTCGACGGTCTTGGTGCAGAGTGTGACCACACGCAAGCGCGTTCTGTAAGGGTTCCCAATAACATTCCCAATTAAAAGTATTATTTAAATGACGAAAAAACAAAAATGCGACAAAACATTGTTGAAAGCAAACTTCCAACGATTCAAGTGTTAACACTTGCTTTACGTCATTTAGGTCTGTGTGCGCGCTCTTGTTGTACTTCTAAGGGGTTCAAAAAGTAGGGCTTGCACGTGGGGGCGATATACCCTTGCGGTTACTCATAATTAATAGAATACAAAAGTAGTTTTTGTGATAACACCTTATCGCCTTGGCCATCCAGCTGCATGTTCGTTGATATTATCAATAGACAATACTTGTAATTTTATTGATTTTATCAATAAATGGCGCTAATATAATGCTTCAGCAGTTCCATCTATTAACGGTTCGGTCAAATTTTAAATACGGCATCATTTTCGTTTCTTTTTTATCATTAATCTCAAAAAAGTCTTATACGAATGCTGAATTGAATTTCGAAATTTGCTCTATTTGTTTTCTATTTTGTTCGTTTTTCTAATAACAATGCTTTAAATCAATTGTGTACGGGTCGTGGTCCTCTTTCAAGCCATGTACAGGAGCTGTGCTATTCGAAAAGTACGTTTCTTAGGGTAATTGGGATTTTCACATGAGTTTAGAAGAAGATACACGAAGAATAATGGTTATAGTGAATTAATTGATCTATATTTCATTTATTTTGCTCTTCTCTGAGACAAAATCCTACTGGTTTACTTGCTAAGGAATTAACTCAATACAGGAAGTTAATTTTCAAAGTTAGGCTAAAAAAAGAAAGCACTTTGAACTGGGAAGTTGTAAGTTTATCTAAGGACTTATAATGTTTGTTTGCAAGTATCAGAAGTTATTTCCTCTATGCCCTATGGTTTCAGTTTATCTATTAAATAAACAATCTGAGTTTGTATTTTTGAAGCTTATATCATTGTAATAAGTCCTATATAAATCTATTTATAAAAACGAGGAAGTAAAAAATTTACTATATTCACATCTGTACTATTGAACACAATATGAAGTTTAACTTCGTAGAGGGGTTTGTACTAGATACTCGAATATATATGAATGTATTAATTAAACTATATAATTCTGTAGCATTACCGGCTTTCTATCTAGTTAAATAAATCCAATTTCTCTTAATACGGGGCAAATAAATGCGTTAAAACGGGGTTGTCGAATAAATGTTTTTATTGGCAATCACGTTTAAGCGAATATTGACATTAATTATGACGTTACTTTGAAGTTCAAGGTCACGATTCATTGAGATTAAATAAACTGATTTATAATCAATTCTACTGAATAATATAACATTTTAATATCTACAAATTTAGTTTCCAAGAATCCAAATGAGAAGAAACTCTGAGCACTTCATGGAATTCTATGGATAAATGCTTGATAATCATGGTATTTCAAATTTTAATATATGATTAATTTCAATGAATATACGAAGTATATTATTTAAAACAATGTTTTTTTTTTTCTTCCTTTGCAGACATGTTTTCTATTCAAGAAACTCGAGAGATATTACAAGCCTTAAAGTCTTGCTAAATTTCTACGAAATTTGTTTTAATGTTTTAAACTATTATTTTTTTTACTTTTATATATATTTTTTTATCGTAATTAATAGAGGTTTTTCATTAGAATATTAATTAGACGAAAGAATTTAAGGCTATTCAATATTTCAACTATTTATTGCTGTACATTTTATGAAAAGTTACATATCAGATCTTCAATGTAAGTTTATAAATAATATTTTATTATAGATGTGTAACACAATAAAACTTTGAAAAATTATGAATACAATTTATCTATGTATATAAAAAAATAGAACGTATATGTCTGTTCTCTATACACTTCTGAACCCGTTTGATCGATCATCGATCGCGAAATATAATCGCTAGAAAATCAGAAATAAAAATTATAACTTCAGTTTTCCATGCAAATCAACACAATGGCAATTTTCATGGTAATTCCTGATGACTACTTGTTAAGCTTGAAAGTGCTTGATTACTTTTTAATTTTATTTTATTTACTACTACATTAAAAGTATTATTTTCTTCTTTATATCATAGTGGAGTTAACTTTACAGTTATCATAAAAACTTGGTACCATCTTTGTAATAAATAAATCACTGGTAATTTCAGGAAGCCAATTTTATTACTTTGTAGGATCCTCAAAAATTACCATGCAAATGAGTAGATATGCAAAAGCAATGTGTGACATATCTTTGAGATCTCATTTATGTAAATTAAGACAAGAGCAATAAACGTACCATGTGATTCAAATCACTTACAGGATCCTCAAAAATTCTATCCAAGTCAAAATATTGGCACGAAAATAAAAGATTCACATAAACAGTGACGTGAATTAAGTTGTGTATCAGCATTGAAAAAAAAAGCATCAGAGATAATTTATAATATATCTGATAAGTGAAGTGCAAAGTTGAAACCTCATCATTTTCAAAAGAATTTTGACAGAAATAATCAATAGATTTATTTGTCAGAAGATAGAACTCTTTCGATGGCTTCTGTATCCAAATTACAAGGTATAAGTGTTTATAAATCTAATTGCAATACAATAGAGTGTGAAAATTAGGTATTAATAACAATTTTTGTAATAATTACTTTTGAAGCTTCAAGTTTTTGATCATTTAGTAAAGCTGAAACAGCCTATTTTATTTATTTTCAAGGATTTAAAGTGATGGATGTAGATGAGCTTTTTCAAGATTTTAGTAAAAAAGAAAGAAAAGATTATACTTCTTGGAATGAAAATGAACTGGAAACCTTCAGAAATATTATTATAGGTAAGAGATTTATAAACGTTCAATTAATCAAATCATTTCGTGGTTAAATTATACGAAATGCAGGATGGCCCTAAAGTTATCTGATAAATGCAGAGGCTAAACTGCAACTAACTTTGATAATTTTATAAAACCATGCTTTCTCGATTTATATTTAGAAGTGCAACAAGAGAACACGCACAAACTGTTAACTGACTTTTGAGCCACCCAGCATATGCATTCAGATATGTACTGTACATATAAGTAATTAGTTTCAATTAATTAATTCCATGCATCTTGCAGAGCAGAACATAAATTGTCCATTAGATGACATGTTCCTTCTGAGTTTCCTCAGAGCTAGAAAGTTCGAAAGAGAAAGAGCATTGAAACTATTAAAAAATTATTTATCATCAAGACAAAAGAATCAAGATGTATTTGGAGATTATAGTCCATTAGCTATGAAGAAATACCTTGATATGAAAGTACATGGATATTTTACTCATACTGATGATGAAGGGCGAATTATGGGAATTGGTAGATGCCGTAAGTATAGTAAAAATTACAATTAAAATTATAATAGTAATTCATACAAAACTTTTAAGAAATAGCATTACGCACATCTGTATATTATTTATATTGGAGGATTGTTCATATTATATAAATGTTACCTTTAAACTGATATATTTTATTAAAAACAAAACATACAGTACAGTAAATGCTTAAATCTTATATTCTCATATCAATCATTTCATCAATAATTATATAATAAAATACAGTTGTAAAGAATTAAACTTAGTATCCGAAGGGGCATTTATTCCATTCGCACTTCAAAAAATGACTTCCCTCTATTGACACTTGTAATGTCTGATTTTTCAGAACTATTTGTATCTTATTTGTAATTTTTCATAAGATTTGCCTAGACTAGACAGTCATTATAAATACAAGATAAGTTTTAATATCAAGATTTAGATATAAATTGCTAAATCTTTGGACACTGATCAAAGTAGATATACACTTCATAAAGAAATACAAGTGATAAAATGTTAAGATCTACATACAATATTTTATGTCATTAGTTTAATGACAGTTCATTGACCATGTTAGGAGTCTTCTATGAATATTCTTTCATATTTAATGAGCTATAAGTCTTTAATATTAATTTGAGCATTGGGTTCCATTGGCATTTGATCATATGTTAATGTTATAGTAGCATTGTTACATTATTATGTATTTATGTTTACTGAAATCTATCGTATTTCTATTTACAGCTTTTCAATTTTGTATAAAATTAGAATTTCATCATATATTTTTGTTAATGCTATTTTTTTATCTTTCAAAATGGCCACAATATATATCTTCAATGACAGCCAATAAAATTAATAAAAACAAAAAATGGACTACATACGGTATTTACTTTGGAATCTATGAAATGTGTGTTTAGTAACATCTGTCCTAAAAGCTAATCTTGTTTGTTTAATCATTGACAATAATATAACTAAATGTTCATTATCAATGAGATATCACTTATTTTCATTACCATTTTATCACAAATATGTAAGAGAATTTCTAACCAAGTGCACCTCACTAATTGCTTATCATTAGATTCAAACATCAAGATACATATTGACATCTTAATGAAAATAAACTATTTACTTTCCATATTTTGCAGATGATTAGCCATATTATAACACACAGCATAAGATTAAGTATCATTTTTTAAAAAAAATACACTTTCTTTTGTGATAAATTTTTGGAAATTGAATCTTAGAAGCTATAAACACTATGGCCTTAGTTTTTACTTGATACTACTACTGCTTGTAGTACTGTACATTAAGAAAAATACTTGATACAGTTACTAATTATTTTGACTAAATTAAAAACTCTATTCTAAATTTAGCTATTATGCTCACTAAATTGTCACACACAAAATTCAATTGACAAATTAATTTTTTGCTTGAATACAGAATTTGTAATGTAGCCTGAAAATAGCCTGATAATTTGGCTTTAATATTTTAATTTGTTCTTTTTTTAAATTGAGAATGGTCAAATTTTGTTGAAAACATTTATTTTATTTAATAAAAAGTTGGCTTCCTGAAATTACCAGTCATTTATTTATTTCCAAGTTTTTATGATAACTGTAGACTAAAGTTAACTCCACTACGATATAAGGAAGAAAATAATACTTTTAATGGAGTAGTAAATACTAAAAATTAAAAAGTATTCAAGCACTTTCAAGCTTAACAAATCATCAGGAGTGTAAAGAATGTTTCTGTTGTTACAGAAGATTGTATGATTGTCATTATAGTAATCATGATGTTACTATATTACAANAAGAAAATAATACTTTTAATGGAGTAGTAAATACTAAAAATTAAAAAGTATTCAAGCACTTTCAAGCTTAACAAATCATCAGGAGTGTAAAGAATGTTTCTGTTGTTACAGAAGATTGTATGATTGTCATTATAGTAATCATGATGTTACTATATTACAATAGAACACAAATTGAAGGATTATATAAATAAATGAAATACTTAATATTATAGATTTTGAAAATTTACGTAAAAAAAACAAGCACCTTACTGGCTCAGTTTTTTTTGTAAATTTATGTAACAATAGTAACATTCTTTGAGTTCAAAATAACTTGAATGTTAAGTTTATAACTCCATTAAAAGCAATAGTTTCTTCTTTACAATAAATTTATTCTATTGTAGAGGTCTTCTTTCAACTACGAAAGATAGAATCTTAATGTGGATTTCAATTGAAATTATCAGTTCCACAATAACCCAATTATAGCTATTTTATCAATTCAATTATGTAATATGATCTTTTCAAATTTTTAATTATCAAAATTGATGTAAAGAATTGATAATTAAGTGTTACTCATTGAAAAACATTATTATATCTGTTAATAATTACTCATAATTAAATCCAGAAATGTTTACGTATAGAAATTATATATAGTTTTGTTTCCCTTAGCTTATTGGGATTCTTCAAAAATGTCTTTCAAACTTATTATAAAAGGTCTCCTGCTGTTCTTAGATGCAGGATTAACAGGACATTTACTTCAAGTTAATGGTTTTGTATTGATTTTGGATGCTAAAACATTATCATGGAGACATCTTTTGCACCTAACACCGAGTACAATTCATGCCATAATTTCTTTATTATTTGTAAGTAAAAATTCACTTATTAATTTATAATATACTTTTTATTATAAATATATTGTGTGTACATATTTCATTTCAGCAATCTCTCCCAGTTAGATTTAAAGCAATTCATATAGTTAATATTGGAAAATTTGTACATGCATTTTATATGGCATTCTACCCATTTGTTCCATATAAGATAAAGAAAAGGGTAAGGATAGTGTTGTCCAAATATATTCAATTAACCATTCATTAATATATAAATTTTTTAAATGTTTAGATCCATCTCCATAGTTCTGGTATAGAATCTTTACATAAATACATTGATCCTCGACATCTTCCGGCTGATTATGGAGGAGAATTACCTCCATTTGATCCTACTGAATGTAATAAAAACTTGATGAAATTTCAAGAATTTTTTGAAAATCGTCAAAAGTATTATAGTGTTGTATAGAATACAAAATTTTTCTAGTAAAAATCATTGAGGAGAACTTTTTTAAAATACTCAAAATAAGATTTATAGATTTTAACAATAAATAATTTGTGTAATTAACAAAGTTCCTGTATGTTCCATTTTCAAAATATTCAATATGTTTTGAAGTGATTTCACCCAACTTTCGTAAACTGGAAACCATTGCATGGAATTTAAGCTTTAGTTATAGTTATATATATGAGAAAGTTTAGCTTTAATTGAAGAAAATTTATAGATATAACAATTCAATTTTGCTTGCGTGTCATTTGCAATATCTATATCTACAATTATCTTGTGTTCCACAATCAATGATAATTTTTATCAAGTTCTGCATTCAATCTATATCATTTCAATGGTGCAAAAGTTTAGATTTTAGAACGAAGTTGGATAATTTTATATATTTTTCATGACTATAACATAGTAGAACAGTAAATCATGTGCTATTTGGAGTTGAGATATCTTGAAATGATTTATCTCAAAGTTCAATCAAAAATCATTCTACTTTATAGAAATTAAAAAAAAAAAAAAATTACAATTGTTTTGTTTTAAATACTCTAAAATATTGATTTTCTATTCTGTAAAAGGAATTATTTTATCATATAAAGAGATAAACATGAGCGTAAAATTAATAGTTATTTATACTCAGAATTTATTGCACTGTAAACTAAAATAAATAAATTTTAGAGATATGATGCTTTGAGAACTGCACAGTTATGATTGTATGTTACAAGGCATTTGAATAGCTTTGCTTAGTAAATATTAACGACACTGTTTATAATTGATACGATCACAAAACCTGTTTTATAATTAGGAAGGAAATTTTGATGCCGAAAAGTAAATGTAAGCAACAGGAATAATTATCATTTAAATTTAGGAAATGATTTTTGACAACAAAAATTTCTTAGCGTAATAGGCATTCAAGAACTATTCACTGCTTATCACCTTATTAAAAGTTTGTAAAGTGATGATGTAATGATGTTCACAGTACAGTAATTAGCATATACATTGTGTAAATATTATCAATGCATTTTTAAACTTGATGCACAAGATAGAAATCAAATTCATAACACTTGTGATTGTGAATCTACTTTATTTATGTGTTGTTCATTAAATTTAATTTAATGTCTAGTGAATATATATTTCTTATTTTCTCTTCCAGACTAGACATACACATCTTTTTATAAACAATTTCAATTAATTTGATTTTTTGGAAAGTAATTCCATCCATTTTGCACCAGTGGGATACTCGTACATTTCTAAAGAATCCTTTTTCATCTCGGCACTGTAACCTGGTTCCTAAAATATATAGAAATTTTTAAAACAAGTTTTCTATCATCATCGTTGTTGTAGTTCACTGTATTAGGTTTTTTTGATCAATTTGTAATAGTTATTAGTTAGAAAACATTGATCTATTTATGTAAATGAAACAAAGAAAAAAATAAGGTTATGACTGTGTTTACTTTTAGCAATTATTATTCAAAGTTACATCTGAAAATCTAAAAGTTCAGAACAATTTCCAATATGTGTATTATTACTTTATGTTCTTAAAATTTAACAAGTTTTCTTACCTTAGGAACTAAATAATTAGCATCCTTCACTTTTATAGGAGCCTTGAAATGTTCATGTAGATGATCCACATATTCAATCATCCTATTAAAGTAAATTCCCAACTGTAATAATCTGAATTTGTTTCTATTAAAATAGTGCTTGAATGAATAATATAATGACTCAAAATAAAATCAGCCTTTCCAAATAATATTTATATTGATCTCTCTTAATTTTCATCAAGAATTACTAAAAACAAATTTCCTTGTCATTTAATGCTCTTGTCTGAGAATTTCCTAACATTCGTTTTATCCGAGGAAAAATTTTATATAAAGAGCTAGTCAGTGTTGGCCTGAGGCAAGTTTTAGGATGGAGGGAGATCCTATTATGGCACCCAGGGGTGGAACCATTCATGCGCATCTCAACAGATAAGGCCATTCACATACTGGCCACATGCTTGCAATTAAAATAATGAAAAGTGAAAAAAATATTTTTTCCTTTAATTTTCTTTACAACTGAGGTGCCCCCTAGGACTTAGGGTAAATGGAGCAGTCGCTCCAGGTGCTATGACTCTGGAGCTGAGCTAGTGTTCGAAACAAATTATATTTTATTCAAATTAGCCAAAAGTGAAATTTCTTATAATGACAAAGGTGTACAGGAAGTATGAGAAATACACATACATAGTATATAGAAAATAAGCTTCATATTATAACTGAAATTTCATTACAACAAACTTCAGATGCTCCAAAAATGTTTGTTAAAATGAAAATTCCTATGTATTTATCATAGTATTCACATATGAAGCAAACATATACATAAAAATTAAAAAAAAATGATATTGGGCTTTCAGATGTTCATATATTTTTATAACAAAACCAAACAATTGTTGGATTTAAATTGGGCTACTTTACCACTACTATAAATAATTAAATACTAGAGGTAGTGTTAGGCACTGAGTTGTTCCAAGTTGATGCTATAAGTAACTGCAGATGGTTATTAAATTAAATATGTCTGGAAGTGAGGCATCGGATGGAGGTCGGGTAGCATAACTGGCAATGCATCTGCGGGTTTTTGTTTTGTTTGGGCAGATTCTTTTCTTCCAGAATATTCTAAATTATTTAATAAATATTAATTTAATTATAAATATTAGGTGCCATCTCATTAAATTTAATGTCTACCTCTAATACCAAATTACTCAGTATTTAATTATTAATAGCAAGGGTAAAGTAGCCTGATTTATATCCGAAATTTCATTTGATTTCACTAAAAAATGTATGCTAAACTCATGTAAATAAATAAATTATCAATTTAATTTACAGCTCCCAATAATAATTTTCCTATACTGGACAGAGTTAACTAGGAAGAGTATGGTGATATCCCCTTAGTACCATCTTATCCTCTCTCTTTAAGTGAAAAATAAGATAAGAAAATTAAAACATAGGCATAAATGATTGTCCTTATACCTGTCTACAATAACTTGTGGCTCTTGCTGAGATTAGTACACCTGCTACTCATTAGTTTCTTCCAAGTTCATCCCGCAAAATGTAATAGTGAAGATGATGAAAAGAAGTTGTAATTGAAGTGAAAATTGCAGAAATTCTATTACCATGGGACTGCAGAAAAGGAACATTAAACTGAAAGTTGTTTTAGAAATATATCATAAAAGATTTTATTGTGAGTTCTTACGGAAGTTGGAAAAAATCTAAATTCATTATCACACAAGGTTTATAAAGTACAGTAGAATCTTGTTATAATAAACCTCTAAAAGCCTGATATTTTTGTAATAAGCCAAACGATTGCTAAATTTTCGAGATACTTTACTGCTACTATTAATGATTAAATATTATGTAATTTGGTACTAAAAGAATGCATTATGGGTAATTTCTTATTAAATTTAATAATTATAATTAAATAATTTATAATATTCTGGAAGAAAAAAGTCGGCCCAGAGCAGGACTCAAGCCTGTAACTCCCACTTTCCATGCAGATGCATTGACAGTTACACTAATTTAATAAGAGATGGCACTGAACACCTCCCTCTAGTACCAAATTACATAATATTTAATCATTAATAAACAGTAATGATAAAGTAGTCGATAAAATCTGGCACTCATTTGGCTTACCACTGTACTTTGCTTCAAAATTAAAACTATCAGGTCAGTCCAAAAGTTTGTGCATATTTTATGACTTTGAGAAAAATCTTGTTTTGCTGTTAATTAAGTGATGAGAATGTTACAAATGCAGCCAAAAAATTAAATACTGTTCATAATCAAACTGTAATTAGTGTAAGGACTGCGCAGAAGTGGTTTGAAAGATTTAGAAATAATGATTTTAGTGTGGAGGATAAGGCTCGTACTTGAAGACCTATTGACTTTGATGATGATGCTCTCTCTGCACTAGTTGAAGTAGAACCATCTTTAACAGTTGATGAAATTGCGGAACGTTTAAATTCATCCTATGGAACTGTTCATAGACATCTACAACAAATCGGAAAAGTTTCAAAGCTAAGAAAATGGATACCACATGAACTGTCAATAGCTAACTGACAACAACGTCAACTGCTCAACTCAAAAGCTTCAACTGGGAAATTTTAACTCATCCACCATATTTGCCAGATGTTGCTCCCAGTGATTATCATCTTTTTCGGAGTTTGCAGAATTTTTTAAAAGGAAAAACTTTTGAGGATGAGAACAATGTAAAAAAGGCTATTTCTGAATATTTTGATTCAAAACCGAAATCATTTTACAAAGACGGGATTAAAAAGCTACCATGAAGATGGCAAGAAATTGTACAAAATAATCGTGAATACATTATAGATTGAAAGAAGATTTAATTAAAATTTTTGTTGCTTTTTTTGTAGATAAAAAATGTGCACGAACTTATGGACTGACCTGATAGTTTATCTACAATACCTATTATTAAAATCAATTACCTATTTTCTAAATTTCCACTCAAGCAAATATAATCCCACATTGCAACATGCTGAACTAGTTCACAGAGACCTACACCTCCTGCATGAGGACATACCGGAACTGAATATTTAAAAGAGAAAGAAAGAAAAAAAATTCATTTTCCAATTCAAATGAACTTCTAAAAATTTATTTAAAATTTACTTACTTCCAAATTTTGCAGCCATAATATAGACTGCTATTACTTCGTTAACACCACCCAATCTGCAGCAATCAATCTGACAGAATTGTAAGGCTCCTGCCTGCATAAACTGTTTAAACATTACCCTGTTTTGACAATGTTCACCTGTTGCTACACCAATTTTCAATGGATTTAATGCCTAAAATTTAATTAATTGTTTTCATTCTGTTTTCAAAATAATCTGTTTTTGTACAATTAAGTTTTCTTATCATATGAGATTTTATTAATTTAAGACTCAAGAATATGTCAAGTTTTTAAAAAAAATGTATTTTAGTAATGCATGCAATTCTCATTTCAATGCTCTACAAGTTAATTAAAACATGAAAGTATAAGCAGGATATCAGAAAACAAAACATATAGTGTTTTTCATAGCCTTTTTGGTGGTTATAACAAGCATTTATTGCCAATAAATCTATTCAAAAACAAGCTGTTTTGGCACTAGAATGAATTGAAAAATTCCATACAATTGAAATAAAAACAATGCTATCATATCCTAAATTATATGTAAACTATAGCCACAATGGGGCAGCTGGGTGGTGGTGAGTGAGGCCTGACATATCTGCACATACCATCCCTAAAAGTTTTTGACCTGTCTAGATTCAATCCCAGGTCCCCAGAGTAATAGGTTGTCATCTTAAATTCTTGCCATCTGGTTGTCCATAGCTTTGATTTTCAGTTTTTCAATTTTCATTGCTGTCATGGGTTAATTTCTGCTGCTTCTGCAACTCAGAAATTCCATTTGCAATTTGGCAATTTCCCAATTTTGCTAAACATCAAATTGCTTTTATCTCTCTTTTTTTCTTCAAGGGTTAGGTTTTGTTTATGAGACATTTTGATAGTGAGTTAACATATAGCTGGTAATTTCCATATTTGCAGAATAATGTTTTAATCAATGAGAAATACAAAAGAAAGGTACAATAGTATATTCAATGAAATAAAGAAAAAAAAATCATTGTCCACGAGAAGCTGTGATGCCATTGAGACCACGAGCAAACATCACAGGGTGACCGTAAACAGTCCTAATTGTGCACCAACTGGTTTGAAATGTTTTTAAATGTTAAAAATAAAATTTAAAATTTAATTAATTAATCTTCTTCTTTCCATTTTTGAAATTTAATCTAATAATACATGCTTTTGATTAGAATAAACAGGAAGTGGCACAATAAAGTTCTAATTACCAAGAAAATTTTATATTGATTTAAATAGGAATCAGATGGAGACTAGTGTCTAGTTTGAATTAATGAGAATCTACCTTATATTCAAGGCATTTAAATCACATTAAATATATTTAATCTGAATTTTCTACTTGGAAAACAATGATGATATATATTTTTCTGTGTGTATTCTAAGAATTATTTTTGCATTTTTTTAATTGATGATAGTAACTAATGTCTGATAATTAAAAAAAAACTAATGTATTTTGAAAATGGCATATTATATGATCATTTTATCAGTATATCTGTTCAGAATATATTTGTTAACAACTTCACACTGAAGCAAGATATTATATTAAAGCAGTGTTTTCAACCTTCTTTTTGTCACGGTACCTTTTAATAATTTAAACATTTGGCGGCGCACACTGTTACTTCAGTAAGTACCACAGAACAACTGGTGACGTCATAACAGTGATTTTTAAATGTGGTTGGTTATTTAGGTCACATTTTCTAAACACCTTGGTAACTACAGGCAGTTACTGGTAACACCAGTTACAATTTCCAAACGTGCCCTAGGAAGGCAAAACTGATTGAACTACTCGTCTGACATCACTTATGTATGAGTATTCGCAGTGGTGGCATATTTGAAAAATTTCGTGGCACACTAAAGTGCCGCAGAAATTTTTCAATTGGTTGAGAATCACTGCATTACAGAATAATTTTTGTTGCCTGAATGTACTGGTTTGATCTTTGTAATATCACAGTATTGTGCCAAGTTTTAAGATATCGCATTAATAATTCACACATACAGATCAGAAAAAATTAATATTACCTTAGCTATAGTGGCATGTCCTAAAATGTCATCAGGACTTGTTGGTTCTTCAATCCATAAAAGATTAAATTCTTTTAGTTGTTTCATCCAATTAATTGCTTCATTAACATCCCAACATTGGTTGGCATCAACCATCTAAAAGAATATATTTTTATAATTAAAATATTAAAACTTAGGTTATACATTGAATTTATTTGATTATTTTCATTAAATCTTAGTTATCTAACTCTACTTCCTCCATAGAAACATAACATTAAAACACTCAGTTAATTTCATTTTTTTTTTCATTCGAGTACTTTCAAAACTCATCATCAAGATGTATTCAAGTGTAGCTGCCAAGGAAGCAAGTGCAATATATGAGTAAATGATAGCTACGGTTACAAGAATTATATTTTTGTATTGGCTACATGAATGCGTATTAGAATATTAACATTCAAATTACAAATTACTAAATATTATTAAATATATTTACATTAAATGTCTGTCATTTGTGAATTCAAGAAATCTGAAGACTGTCTTGTCTTTAATTAATAATATTAAGTAAATATAAGATATGACATTATAGAAAAAGATTTGTTAAATATAATTTTAAGCTGAGATTATAAATTGACATAATACACCTAATTCAATTTCAGACATTTCAGATTCAATTTTTCAATAGTTTCTTGGAGAAAACACAAAATTTAAATGAATTAAAGATGTGTCTAGTAGATTTTCATGAAATTAAACTACCTAATAAAACATAAATCATGAATATGAGAAGAAAATAAAGATCAAATCAAAGCTTTTCATTTAACCAGAAGACAACTTGAGGGCACTTCATATTACTGTTATCAATAACATTAATCTAGAGTCATAATGCTTATTGATACTCAAAATAATTAAGAAACTCCAAAATACATAAAAAGAAAACAATAAATGCTTTAATGGAATAAAGTATTTTAATATTTTTTCCTTTATTGATATTCTCCAAATGCAGCAGCAAACTCCTGCTTTTATGACTTAACTGACTTCTAGAAAAGTGTATATTTAAATTTATGGAACAGAATGTAGAAGATATTGGTTCTAGTCCCATAAATACAACTCTAATTATACAATATCACATTGAGATGATCAGCAAAACAAAACAATATTGCATTTCATAAAGTATAATAGAAAATTTAATCAGTTGTAAAAGTGGAGAGTCATAAAATTAGTAGTAGTAGTAGTAGTATAGCTCNCAAATAGATGTATATCAAATGTGGACTGTATTCATTATTATTTGGTAAAACAAAACATACTGTAAACTAAAAAAAAAAAAAAGGCTTTAATAGAGATCCTTTTATTGCCAGGCCTTTATGACTTATGTAAACAGAAGTTTGAATTGTTTCTATTTTAATCCCCGCAAGATGTTAGAGACATTGATTTTTAGAAAAAAAAATCATCAACGCCACAGGCCAGACAGGAAGCCTTAATGGACCATATCCATCCTTAAGGCTGCCAGTTTACAACCCGTTTTATACAATAAATATAAATAATTAAGAAATGTGATTTCAGTGTTAATGTAATAAATGCCAATATCAAGAATTAAATTTTGTTTAATATCTAATAATTTGTAAATATCATTTTACTTTATCAGTTCAGATTTTTTAATAGAATGTTACTTCAAATTCCTTAGAAATTTTGAAAGGCAATGAAGAAGGATAGTAATTAGCTCCTAATTGTCCAGGAACTCTTAATTAGAATAAATGAGTAAATGTACAAAATGTATTATTCTACTATGAAACTTATAACAGATTTATCAAGTGAATCTCCAAACTAAATCTTTATCATTTCAGACTGGAAAACAGAGAAATATCATTTAAAACAAATTTTCTTACTTAATCTTCTTTCAAAGGCTTTCTGGTAATGAAATCTATAATAACAACACTAGAAAAATAAATTCTTATGATAAGTTTCAGGAATAATCTTTAGAATTGGATTCTCAAGATGATATCATTGTATAACTATATAAAACATATTATTCATTTAATTTAAACTCCAGTTAGGCAGTTCATCTATTTACTATATTTTCAATTTACCTATTACTTTCCCTGTAAACCCATCTTTTGGGGAATTGTCAATATCCCAATTCAAAAGATCCCCAAAAATGATCTACAAAGACTCAAAAGCTTTAGGGAAATCTAAAGAAATTGCAGGATAGACCTGCAATTTCTGTTTACTATACCATATATGTTTCATTTAATCTTTGCTTCAGTTTTATAAAACCATACAATTTAATTGCAATCATATCAGAAATTAATCTGTGTGGTTACTGTATCTTTAGGTCAAATTCTATATTGAAATTGGTTAATATTATCTTAATTTTAGCCTGTAAATAATCAAGATTTTAAATGTTTTTCTTAATTTATTAATAATTATACACAGTTATATTTAAAATTAATCATATAATTTATCAGAATATATTTATTTTTAATTATAATTACCTCTTTGTTTTCTAGAATCATACTGAGCTTTTAACATAGCTAAAAAATATATTTAATAATATTAGTAAATATTTCAATTTAAAACATAAGAAAGTTAGTACAGTAAATATTTACCTATAGCTTCTTCTTTGGTTATAACATCTGTTCTATAATTAACAAGATTTATCATTAAAGCTTCTATTGAATCATTTAAAATTTACATTTTATAAAGCAAGAAATTTTTATCCAGATAATACTTTAAGTATTCAATTACTTTATAGACAAATATTAGTAATTTTGCATAAATTTAATGATTTTGAATATAATCATTAAGAGGATATTTCTTCCATCTTTATCATGGGTACTATCAAGCCCACAATGGGGTGGCCGGAGAATAATGATGAGGAATAGGGCCTGACAGACCAAAATCTTTTAAGTTTTCTGACATGGACTCAAATCTAGGTAAATTAATTAAATAATCTTCAAGTTGTTAAATAAAATTATACAGTGAATATATTGACAACAACAGAAGAACATCATTAAAACATTGTAAAATAATATTTAATAATTTAAATGCATTTAATGAGGTCTATTTGGAAGATAACATCTGCATGGCTGCATCACTTATTGCAGCAACCTGGCACACTCACAGAAATAAACTGTGATATGTTGACTCACGGTTGACCATGTGGTCAGCCGTTTTAAGTGCTTGCTGTACATGGGTTGGGTATGGGTTGTCGTCAAAGTTTCCACCAAATGTGAGGTGCATGGTATTATCTGTGTTTTACAAGCTGAAGAACATAATCAGGTTAGCTTCACTGAAGGATAAGTGTTGCTAACAGATTTTATGGAACCTTGGATTACCATTAATTCACAGGTGTACTGTGAAATACTAAAAAAACTGATGGGTAATTCAGAATAAGAGGTGAGGCATGTTGTCCTCAGGCATGCTTCTTGTCTGTAATAATGCACACGCACACAGGCATTGCTCAATAGTTTTAATGGGAGTTGTTTGATCACTGTATCTATAGCCCTGACCTTGCACCGAATGATTTTCATTTGTTCCCAAAAATATAGATGTTGTTGGGGACACAGCACTTTGAATCCAATGTGGAACTGATGCATGGCATTTGTGGATGGATGAACTCCCAGGTGGCAAATTTCTTTGATGAAGGAATATAGAAAATGCCGTATTACAATAAATGCCTAATTCTTGGAGAACTTATGTTGAGAATGTATGTATTGTAATTAGTATTGGGTGCCATAAAATTTATTCTCAATTTTATTGATATTCTTTTGAATAATTAGTTGGAAATTTCATATTGTTTTATGCCCATCATTATTAAGAAATAAAAAAAATCTTAACCTCTGACAATAGAGCTTTTGTTCCAGGCCCCCAGATTTCTTTTACAACTCAAATGACCCTTCTCAGAATAGTCTGGAGACTCCTGCAATAGGTATTCACAAGACATAAACAACACACAAAGACTATAAGTTGTCAGATAATGTTCACTGCAAAACTGAAGACATGCATGCCCAACATCACGGAGAGTGCAGCAAGTAGAACCAAATTTTTAGTATGATAAATTTTGTGACCACCAATGCAAAAAACATAAATCCACAAACATAGATCTTGTGAATTTGCAGATGTGGCTGTAATTTACGTAATATTTGTACGTATAAATGTTATAATAAACAAATAGTAACATATATACATATTCAATACTTTTATTTTGAAATAATTGATTATTGAAATGTCTTATGCATAAATTTAAAATTATATAATTAAATTAACCTCTACTAAACTTTAAAAAAAAACCTCTTACATGTATCTGAAATCAATTGTAGAGACAAGTTTTTCTGGTTCCTGTATTTTTAACATAAATCATAAGGAAAATGAAAAAAATTATCAAAATTTATGAGTTAGATTTTTACCATATCAACTAATAATTTCCATAATGGTTTCTCCTCTATTTTAGCCCATAAATCCCATATAGCATTCACTATAGCTGCAGTAGCTAGATGAATAACACCCTTTTCTGGTCCTATCTATGCAAAATATAACAGCATATACATATTTTAAAATTTATAATTTTAATATATTTTTAAAAGAATTATTTTATTTAATTAATAATGATATATAAATCTATTTATATAATATTTACCATTCTTCATTTTTGAAGTGATGAAATTAAAATGATTGTTTTCTAGGAAGCCAAATTATGAATCTATTTAACATTTTAGATAAAGGATTGTATTTCATAACCACTATATAAGAATGTGTTATATACTACATAAGTTCTGTTACCTATATCTCTTTTTGTAAGAGACTATATCTTATATACTGAAAAGCATTATTACTAGTGTTGCAATAAAAATGGTGGGGGCCTTATTATACACTATTTGCTATTGCATATCATCACCACTGGAGTGTTTTCCACAACAGTGCTAAAACTTAATATTAGGAAAATAGAGGCACTAGAGATGTGGCTATGGAGAAGAATAGTAGAAGTCAGATGGACAATAAGGTGAAGTCCTAAGAGTTGGCGAAAGAAAAACATTAGAAACAATAAAAAGGCAAAAAGCTAATTGGATAGGACACATAATATGAGAGGAAGATAGGAATGATAGAAGAAATGGTTGCAGGTGGAAAGAAATGAGGGAGGAGGAGAATTAAAATAGTGGATGACTTAAGAGGGTAGTTATAAGGAGCTAAAGACAAGATGGCAAGATAAAGTAGCATGGAAAGAGAGATGGTGCTCCCTAGACCTACTATAACTAGCAGAAAACTACAGAAGATTTCAGATCTAGCCTATCAGCAGCCTACCATATGCTTTGGACCAACTTATACAGAGGGAATAGGCCTGAACCAGAATTTTGAACTGAAAATATTGAAGTCAACTTGTACACTGGAATTTACAATATGTCATTATAATACAAATTAAGCAGAGTTTATGAAGCAATTAAGCTGTCTTGTATCTCAAACTAAAATATGTAATTATATTATTATTTTCTATAATTTAGATTTTCTTTTTCATTGTTTTGTTTCTTTTGATTTTGTTCATTTTAACTATACATAATATATGTAGAAGTGATTTTTCAAACATATTAAGTATTGAACTGATGATTTCTTATTTTAAATATTTAATTAAAGATATTTGTTATTTATTTATTTATTAAAGATATTACTACTTTATCTTTACCAATACATAATGTTAAATATGAATTGATGTAGCACATTTTATTAAAATAATATGTAAGTGCATTGTGTTTTGAACAGATTTTTTTTTTATCACAGAAAATCGTTGCATTCTGAAAAATTTTTACCATTTAGGAAGGTTTCCATTTTATTAAGGTTCTGTTTTGGACAGGTTTTACTGTTTATAAAATTGCATCCAAATTAAAAAATAAACTAGCAATGAGTTTCTCAACTTTCCTGGCATCATTTAAAATTTTGGTGTAGCCATCTGTTATCATATTTTATTAAAAATCTTTTTATATTTTTAACTATTATAAAATGGCAAAAAGCTTAATTTTAAGGGTAGGGATGAGTTTTATAAAAAAACTGTAATTGCTAATAACGAATAAAATTGTCATCAAATTTGACCTACTGGAGATACACACGATCCCCATTATCTTCCTATCCTCTCGACCTTTTAGATTAACATTTTAGATAAAGGATTGTATTTAACCACCAAAATTTAATAGAATCAATCTTCCTAATAAACAAATCGCCCTGCAAAATTTCAGAAAATTTCAACAAAAAGCATGCTTCAAACAGAATGAACAAAATCATGACGCACACACTAACATTCATACATACAGAAATTACCTGTAAATTTTTTTGCATTTCTTGACTTTTCAAGGCATTCTCAGCCCAAAAGTGTAAAAATCTTTTTACACTTTACACTTTTTACACAAGGGGGGGTCATTTTTCGCTGGATTTCCGATAAGAGTTGGGAAAATAATATTACTGAATACAGAATATATACAATAAAATGCTTAATAGTTTACACAAGCAGATGTCTAAAAATACTCTACACCATATCAATCGAAGAATCCCACATGCCCAAAGAACTAATCGAGAACAATAAAGAATCAACTGACCCAAAATGTGTTCCTGGAGTATACTGAATCCTATCATCAACCACTGCTTCAACAAAGAATTAGAATATGTCGAAGCCATGGTAGATGCCATTAGTACCAGGATAATAGAGTCTCAGTTAACAATAAGAAAAGGTGATTTGCAACAGTTCTATTAGTATACACAGTAAAATGATGTGGCAATTGACTTCCAAAGGAAACAAATGCGGAAGAAGGTACACAGCACAGACCTTCCAAGAAATAGATAGCAGCTTGAGATCTACAGATCTGCTCTAGAGAGCAAGGAAATGAATTATAAAGACACTTGTTCAATTTTGTGTACATGGAAAATGTGCTATGAATTAGTATAAACACTTGTAAATATGACTTCTCTGATTGACGTCATTATCAATTTTTAATATATGTTGACAGATAACACAAATTTATATTGTATTATAAACTGTATATGTCTTAATATAAACCACATTGAGACTTTTTACCCAATAGCATCATAGTTAAAAATATTTTGAATGGAATTCCAAATTGTTGTTTGAATTTGTTGGTTTGTAGAATGTACAGGTACCTGATGAAGGTCATTCAAAACTATCAAAAACATTAACAATTTTGTATTAATTTTAATATATTTTTAAAAGAATTATTTTATTTAATTAATAATGATATATAAATCTATTTATATAATATTTACCATTCTTCATTTTTGAAGTGATGAAATTAAAATGATTGTTTTCTAGGAAGCCAAATTATGAATCTATTTAACATTTTAGATAAAGGATTGTATTTCATAACCACTATATAAGAATGTGTTATATACTACATAAGTTCTGTTACCTATATCTCTTTTTGTAAGAGACTATATCTTATATACTGAAAAGCATTATTACTAGTGTTGCAATAAAAATGGTGGGGGCCTTATTATACACTATTTGCTATTGCATATCATCACCACTGGAGTGTTTTCCACAACAGTGCTAAAACTTAATATTAGGAAAATAGAGGCACTAGAGATGTGGCTATGGAGAAGAATAGTAGAAGTCAGATGGACAATAAGGTGAAGTCCTAAGAGTTGGCGAAAGAAAAACATTAGAAACAATAAAAAGGCAAAAAGCTAATTGGATAGGACACATAATATGAGAGGAAGATAGGAATGATAGAAGAAATGGTTGCAGGTGGAAAGAAATGAGGGAGGAGGAGAATTAAAATAGTGGATGACTTAAGAGGGTAGTTATAAGGAGCTAAAGACAAGATGGCAAGATAAAGTAGCATGGAAAGAGAGATGGTGCTCCCTAGACCTACTATAACTAGCAGAAAACTACAGAAGATTTCAGATCTAGCCTATCAGCAGCCTACCATATGCTTTGGACCAACTTATACAGAGGGAATAGGCCTGAACCAGAATTTTGAACTGAAAATATTGAAGTCAACTTGTACACTGGAATTTACAATATGTCATTATAATACAAATTAAGCAGAGTTTATGAAGCAATTAAGCTGTCTTGTATCTCAAACTAAAATATGTAATTATATTATTATTTTCTATAATTTAGATTTTCTTTTTCATTGTTTTGTTTCTTTTGATTTTGTTCATTTTAACTATACATAATATATGTAGAAGTGATTTTTCAAACATATTAAGTATTGAACTGATGATTTCTTATTTTAAATATTTAATTAAAGATATTTGTTATTTATTTATTTATTAAAGATATTACTACTTTATCTTTACCAATACATAATGTTAAATATGAATTGATGTAGCACATTTTATTAAAATAATATGTAAGTGCATTGTGTTTTGAACAGATTTTTTTTTTATCACAGAAAATCGTTGCATTCTGAAAAATTTTTACCATTTAGGAAGGTTTCCATTTTATTAAGGTTCTGTTTTGGACAGGTTTTACTGTTTATAAAATTGCATCCAAATTAAAAAATAAACTAGCAATGAGTTTCTCAACTTTCCTGGCATCATTTAAAATTTTGGTGTAGCCATCTGTTATCATATTTTATTAAAAATCTTTTTATATTTTTNCAAGTGGTAATGTACTTTGTGGGTAAGGTGATGGAATTAGACCAAAATATTATTTTTCTATTACCTCTATATCAGTAGATTTCTGTTATCATTGAAATGGGCTGATCAGACTTCAAAGGTTATATGGAGGACTTTTGAATTTGGGCATATCGAAGGACGAGAAAACTGAGAGAACCTTAAGAGGTAACTAGAAAGAACTGGCGAGAACACATGAGAACAAACAAATCATGAAAATTTAGTGTTCTCAACTTTCATAGTCCGAATCACCTCCAATGAAGAGTTACTAAGACCCCATGAGATGGGAACCAGGGTTAAGTCACACCACATGATGTGTCAACAAATTTTAAGATAATTAGTGTCATCGAAGGAAATTGATCTAATCTCAGCCAAATAGAAAAGAAAGTTCCTTTTCCTTCATTAACTAAATTCGAAAGTAAAACAGAATTTAATGACTATTCTGAACAAACAAATTCTCAACATCTTTAAATAATAAAAACAAAATTAAGTAAATCATGGAAAAACATTTTAGATGGCCTCCAGGTTCTCACACTTAGATTTCAAAACAAGAAAATGGTATACAGATAGTCTCTGACTTTTGGTTATAATGCATGATGCCTAAAAATATACATGAAAGTCAAATGCTCACTCGATGAATGATGATATTTTTTTAGTTATAACACCACAACTAATTAAAATTTTTTACCTTGTTAGATTTTTTAGTGTACAATAGTCTTAATTTGGAATATAAAACACAATTTAGGGATACAAAAGAATTATTTACAAAAGAGTGGAGCTGTCCAAAAGTTGAGGATGGCCTGTATTATAAATTCCTACAGTTACAGATAATAATTATAAATAAAGTAAAGAAGAATCCACATCCATTAATAAAGTGTAATTATTATGTTTTTATTGTTAGGGCAGTGCATATATTTCAATTCTCATAGGACAAGAATGATTGGTGAATTAGAATTTTCACTCGTTAATCATTTTCTCTCCTAGATTAAATATATATTAAATCAGGGACATAAAAAGTTAGTTTTTGTTTCAGTTCTCTAAGCAAGCATATAGGAAGGAATCTTGCAGTAATAATAAATTATACTAGCAATTATTTATTGCGACATTGTCACTATGCCAAGCTACAATTTTTAGTCATCATTTAATTCTTTCAAAAAAATCATGTGACTTATGGTTCATACTGGAGATTCATATATAGTCAATCAGGGTCTCTGGTCACTAAGCTTTCCATGTATGGTCTGAATTTTAATAGTAACTTACCCTGTACTGTACATCACACTTCTTGTAACAATCAAATCATGTCAGTCATCTAGCTAACTCTGGTCTCAAGAAAATTTTGAGTTAAAATCATGTAACTTCTCATCCAGATCAAAAGTTCATGTATAGTTAATAGGGTCCAGCCACCAAACTTTCCCTATTTGATCTTGATTTTCATCTATCTAACTCTGTTCTCGCGATTAACAAAGAACAGACAGACATTTTATAGTGCCCTTAAATAATATATTCTATTTCTGTAAGATGATAATATATTGTTTAATGTTAATATGTGGATCTAGATGATCTGTGTAAAATCAAAGATGCTTCATGAATAATTTCATAAAATTTCAAACAATAGCAGTCTGTAATCTATAATATGAAAACTCAACTTTAATAAAAATACTAAATCTTTCAAAGTTTAGTATTTTTATTATGAATTTATGAATTATAAATGAAATTATGAATATACTCTTAACTAGTTTATATCAGAATATAATTAGTTCAAATTGCTCTTTGAGCAAACAGTTTTTAATAATTTTAAATTGAACTGACATTTGAAACATTTCTTTAACATACATAACTCACAATATAACTCAATCAGCTACATACAATCATGTACAGTAGCAAAAATGTTTATTGAAGTAATGTTTTTTGTCATTTAATGACCATCAGTAATAATAAAGTTTTAAATAGCTACATATGCCAAATATTAATAGAAAAAGATAATACGTGCAACTGTCTGTCAGTGTTATGTAAAAGTAATTTATTTTGTGAGTATTTTTGACAGTACATAACCATCCTCTTTGGGTAGAAGGAAATGTTTTGTTTATAGAGAACAAAACATTTGAATTCATGAATAGAATCTTAACATCAACCAATGTTTTTTCAAATTGCTTGTCTTGCTCGCACATGAAAAATATAAATTACACATGTACAGTTAACAAAATTATACAATAATAAGAAATTAAACAGTCAATAAACAAAATAATTTTTGTTTTTTAGTTTCTTTGCACAATTCTGTAGTGTAACAAATTGTCACTGTAAAACATTATATATGAAACAGTTAACTTGTTTCTTATAATACAGTTTTACAAGATCTATCTACTTCAAAATTGTTATAAACATTTAAATTTAATAAAAAGCAGAAAAAATTAATTATATTAAAATTTCACTCACTTGGTAAATCCATTATTCATTGCTTCTTTACACAACTATTAAGAATAAATACCAGTATTTATANGGAGCTGTCCAAAAGTTGAGGATGGCCTGTATTATAAATTCCTACAGTTGCAGATAATAATTATAAATAAATTAAAGAAGAATCCACATCCATTAATAAAGTGTAATTATTATGTTTTTATTGTTAGGGCAGTGCATATATTTCAATTCTCATAGGACAAGAATGATTGGTGAATTAGAATTTTCACTCGTTAATCATTTTCTCTCCTAGATTAAATATATATTAAATCAGGGACATAAAAAGTTAGTTTTTGTTACGGTTCTCTAAGCAAGCATATAGGAAGGAATCTTGCAGTAATAATAAATTATACTAGCAATTATTTATTGTGACCATCATTACAATGCTGGGCTGTAATTTTGAATCATATAACGTAACTTCCAGTTTGCATTGGATATAGTTAATTAAAGTATCCTGCCCCTAAGCTTTCCATATGGTCTTGAATTTCATTTATCTAACACTGTTCTCGAAGTTAAGGAAAGACAGACAGACGACAGTGGGAATTTATAGGTCTACAATTTTTTCAAATTCAGTCCAAATAGATGCATGTTTGATTGAAGTTATCTAACTAAAACATAAATATGCATCAATATTTTTGAATACAACAGCTTCAGATACTAATCAATACAATAATTGCATCTGAAAAATTTCTAAACTTAAAGAACATATGCAAAATGTTGTATTCTTCTGGCACTGCCACNGCTAGAAAATATAAAAAGAAATGAGCATTTATTTATGGTGACATCATTACAATGCTGGGCTGCAATTTTTAATCATATAACGTAACTTCCAGTTTACATTGATTATAGTTAATTGGAGCCTACTGCCCCTAAGCTTTCCATATAGTCTGAATTTCATTTGTCTAACACTGTTCTCGAAGTTAAGGAAAGACAGACAGACGACAGTGGGAAATTATAGGTCTACAATTTTTTTCAAATTGCAGTCCAAATAGATGCATGTTTGATAACTTCAATCAAATTAAAACATATATATGCATCAGTATTTTTGAATACAACAGCTTCAGATACTAATCAATACAATAATTGCATCTGAAAAATTTCTAAACTTAAAGAACATATGCAAAATGTTGTATTCTGCTGGCACTGCCACATAACATCCTATTCATTAACAGTAACATATAATAAAAGAAATAATGAATAGGAGTAAAGTATACTAAGAACATACAGTACATGACAAAGACTTAAATGTGAGGAAACCATTAAATAAATTTATATAAAGCAGAAAACATTTATTTGATTACTACCAAAAACTCATCACACCTGTAGAGATCCATTTCTACAATAGCAAGATCATAATAAATCTGCTTAAAAAATAGTCAGTTAGTTTCAGAATGAAATCATCTTTCCCAATAATGATCTTTATCTATAAAACTTTGTCAAAATATCTAAAGACTTCACTATTTTAAAGTGTTCCCTTTGAAACACACCTTCCAATAACTTGATGTTATTCCTTACATATTTCTCTTCCTGCATTTATATTCAATTAGAAAGTAAAAATTTTTGTTCATTAGATCAAGTTCATATGTTATTTAACTCTGCTAAAGTTACATTATCTACATCTATGTAATTTGTAGAAATGAAAATAATTGCAGTGTTTATTAGTCTATACAGAGTTTATTCTTTATAAATTTTAGTCTAACCAGGAACTTCACCAGTATAAGAAGACACTAAGCATATATTATACACTTTTCCTGCAACTGAATTTAATCAAAACAAACATTTTCAACTGATTGATAAGCCTTTGTTGGGTTACAGAATGAAATTTAAATAGAGATTTAATTTTGGAATAAAATAATCTTTTATTCCAAAATAGGTCAAAGAAAAGAATACATTATTTAAAAAAAATCTCTATTTATATATTTCATTCTTTTATCCAAAATCAGGCTGAAAATGTTTATTTTGATTAAATTTAGTTGCTGGAAAAATGTGTAAGGTATGTTTAATGTCCTTTTAAGTTTATTCTTTACACCAGGCATCTCAAATTCAAATGCAGTAAAGGGTCATTCAAATAGATGTATATCAAATGTGGACTGTATTCATTATTATTTGGTAAAACAAAACATACTGTAAACTAAAAAAAAAAAAAGGCTTTAATAGAGATCCTTTTATTGCCAGGCCTTTATGACTTATGTAAACAGAAGTTTGAATTGTTTCTATTTTAATCCCCGCAAGATGTTAGAGACATTGATTTTTAGAAAAAAAAATCATCAACGCCACAGGCCAGACAGGAAGCCTTAATGGACCATATCCATCCTTAAGGCTGCCAGTTTACAACCCGTTTTATACAATAAATATAAATAATTAAGAAATGTGATTTCAGTGTTAATGTAATAAATGCCAATATCAAGAATTAAATTTTGTTTAATATCTAATAATTTGTAAATATCATTTTACTTTATCAGTTCAGATTTTTTAATAGAATGTTACTTCAAATTCCTTAGAAATTTTGAAAGGCAATGAAGAAGGATAGTAATTAGCTCCTAATTGTCCAGGAACTCTTAATTAGAATAAATGAGTAAATGTACAAAATGTATTATTCTACTATGAAACTTATAACAGATTTATCAAGTGAATCTCCAAACTAAATCTTTATCATTTCAGACTGGAAAACAGAGAAATATCATTTAAAACAAATTTTCTTACTTAATCTTCTTTCAAAGGCTTTCTGGTAATGAAATCTATAATAACAACACTAGAAAAATAAATTCTTATGATAAGTTTCAGGAATAATCTTTAGAATTGGATTCTCAAGATGATATCATTGTATAACTATATAAAACATATTATTCATTTAATTTAAACTCCAGTTAGGCAGTTCATCTATTTACTATATTTTCAATTTACCTATTACTTTCCCTGTAAACCCATCTTTTGGGGAATTGTCAATATCCCAATTCAAAAGATCCCCAAAAATGATCTACAAAGACTCAAAAGCTTTAGGGAAATCTAAAGAAATTGCAGGATAGACCTGCAATTTCTGTTTACTATACCATATATGTTTCATTTAATCTTTGCTTCAGTTTTATAAAACCATACAATTTAATTGCAATCATATCAGAAATTAATCTGTGTGGTTACTGTATCTTTAGGTCAAATTCTATATTGAAATTGGTTAATATTATCTTAATTTTAGCCTGTAAATAATCAAGATTTTAAATGTTTTTCTTAATTTATTAATAATTATACACAGTTATATTTAAAATTAATCATATAATTTATCAGAATATATTTATTTTTAATTATAATTACCTCTTTGTTTTCTAGAATCATACTGAGCTTTTAACATAGCTAAAAAATATATTTAATAATATTAGTAAATATTTCAATTTAAAACATAAGAAAGTTAGTACAGTAAATATTTACCTATAGCTTCTTCTTTGGTTATAACATCTGTTCTATAATTAACAAGATTTATCATTAAAGCTTCTATTGAATCATTTAAAATTTACATTTTATAAAGCAAGAAATTTTTATCCAGATAATACTTTAAGTATTCAATTACTTTATAGACAAATATTAGTAATTTTGCATAAATTTAATGATTTTGAATATAATCATTAAGAGGATATTTCTTCCATCTTTATCATGGGTACTATCAAGCCCACAATGGGGTGGCCGGAGAATAATGATGAGGAATAGGGCCTGACAGACCAAAATCTTTTAAGTTTTCTGACATGGACTCAAATCTAGGTAAATTAATTAAATAATCTTCAAGTTGTTAAATAAAATTATACAGTGAATATATTGACAACAACAGAAGAACATCATTAAAACATTGTAAAATAATATTTAATAATTTAAATGCATTTAATGAGGTCTATTTGGAAGATAACATCTGCATGGCTGCATCACTTATTGCAGCAACCTGGCACACTCACAGAAATAAACTGTGATATGTTGACTCACGGTTGACCATGTGGTCAGCCGTTTTAAGTGCTTGCTGTACATGGGTTGGGTATGGGTTGTCGTCAAAGTTTCCACCAAATGTGAGGTGCATGGTATTATCTGTGTTTTACAAGCTGAAGAACATAATCAGGTTAGCTTCACTGAAGGATAAGTGTTGCTAACAGATTTTATGGAACCTTGGATTACCATTAATTCACAGGTGTACTGTGAAATACTAAAAAAACTGATGGGTAATTCAGAATAAGAGGTGAGGCATGTTGTCCTCAGGCATGCTTCTTGTCTGTAATAATGCACACGCACACAGGCATTGCTCAATAGTTTTAATGGGAGTTGTTTGATCACTGTATCTATAGCCCTGACCTTGCACCGAATGATTTTCATTTGTTCCCAAAAATATAGATGTTGTTGGGGACACAGCACTTTGAATCCAATGTGGAACTGATGCATGGCATTTGTGGATGGATGAACTCCCAGGTGGCAAATTTCTTTGATGAAGGAATACAGAAAATGCCGTATTACAATAAATGCCTAATTCTTGGAGAACTTATGTTGAGAATGTATGTATTGTAATTAGTATTGGGTGCCATAAAATTTATTCTCAATTTTATTGATATTCTTTTGAATAATTAGTTGGAAATTTCATATTGTTTTATGCCCATCATTATTAAGAAATAAAAAAAATCTTAACCTCTGACAATAGAGCTTTTGTTCCAGGCCCCCAGATTTCTTTTACAACTCAAATGACCCTTCTCAGAATAGTCTGGAGACTCCTGCAATAGGTATTCACAAGACATAAACAACACACAAAGACTATAAGTTGTCAGATAATGTTCACTGCAAAACTGAAGACATGCATGCCCACCATCACGGAGAGTGCAGCAAGTAGAACCAAATTTTTAGTATGATAAATTTTGTGACCACCAATGCAAAAAACATAAATCCACAAACATAGATCTTGTGAATTTGCAGATGTGGCTGTAATTTACGTAATATTTGTACGTATAAATGTTATAATAAACAAATAGTAACATATATACATATTCAATACTTTTATTTTGAAATAATTGATTATTGAAATGTCTTATGCATAAATTTAAAATTATATAATTAAATTAACCTCTACTAAACTTTAAAAAAAAACCTCTTACATGTATCTGAAATCAATTGTAGAGACAAGTTTTTCTGGTTCCTGTATTTTTAACATAAATCATAAGGAAAATGAAAAAAATTATCAAAATTTATGAGTTAGATTTTTACCATATCAACTAATAATTTCCATAATGGTTTCTCCTCTATTTTAGCCCATAAATCCCATATAGCATTCACTATAGCTGCAGTAGCTAGATGAATAACACCCTTTTCTGGTCCTATCTATGCAAAATATAACAGCATATACATATTTTAAAATTTATAATTTTAATATATTTTTAAAAGAATTATTTTATTTAATTAATAATGATATATAAATCTATTTATATAATATTTACCATTCTTCATTTTTGAAGTGATGAAATTAAAATGATTGTTTTCTAGGAAGCCAAATTATGAATCTATTTAACATTTTAGATAAAGGATTGTATTTCATAACCACTATATAAGAATGTGTTATATACTACATAAGTTCTGTTACCTATATCTCTTTTTGTAAGAGACTATATCTTATATACTGAAAAGCATTATTACTAGTGTTGCAATAAAAATGGTGGGGGCCTTATTATACACTATTTGCTATTGCATATCATCACCACTGGAGTGTTTTCCACAACAGTGCTAAAACTTAATATTAGGAAAATAGAGGCACTAGAGATGTGGCTATGGAGAAGAATAGTAGAAGTCAGATGGACAATAAGGTGAAGTCCTAAGAGTTGGCGAAAGAAAAACATTAGAAACAATAAAAAGGCAAAAAGCTAATTGGATAGGACACATAATATGAGAGGAAGATAGGAATGATAGAAGAAATGGTTGCAGGTGGAAAGAAATGAGGGAGGAGGAGAATTAAAATAGTGGATGACTTAAGAGGGTAGTTATAAGGAGCTAAAGACAAGATGGCAAGATAAAGTAGCATGGAAAGAGAGATGGTGCTCCCTAGACCTACTATAACTAGCAGAAAACTACAGAAGATTTCAGATCTAGCCTATCAGCAGCCTACCATATGCTTTGGACCAACTTATACAGAGGGAATAGGCCTGAACCAGAATTTTGAACTGAAAATATTGAAGTCAACTTGTACACTGGAATTTACAATATGTCATTATAATACAAATTAAGCAGAGTTTATGAAGCAATTAAGCTGTCTTGTATCTCAAACTAAAATATGTAATTATATTATTATTTTCTATAATTTAGATTTTCTTTTTCATTGTTTTGTTTCTTTTGATTTTGTTCATTTTAACTATACATAATATATGTAGAAGTGATTTTTCAAACATATTAAGTATTGAACTGATGATTTCTTATTTTAAATATTTAATTAAAGATATTTGTTATTTATTTATTTATTAAAGATATTACTACTTTATCTTTACCAATACATAATGTTAAATATGAATTGATGTAGCACATTTTATTAAAATAATATGTAAGTGCATTGTGTTTTGAACAGATTTTTTTTTTATCACAGAAAATCGTTGCATTCTGAAAAATTTTTACCATTTAGGAAGGTTTCCATTTTATTAAGGTTCTGTTTTGGACAGGTTTTACTGTTTATAAAATTGCATCCAAATTAAAAAATAAACTAGCAATGAGTTTCTCAACTTTCCTGGCATCATTTAAAATTTTGGTGTAGCCATCTGTTATCATATTTTATTAAAAATCTTTTTATATTTTTAACTATTATAAAATGGCAAAAAGCTTAATTTTAAGGGTAGGGATGAGTTTTATAAAAAAACTGTAATTGCTAATAACGAATAAAATTGTCATCAAATTTGACCTACTGGAGATACACACGATCCCCATTATCTTCCTATCCTCTCGACCTTTTAGATTAACATTTTAGATAAAGGATTGTATTTAACCACCAAAATTTAATAGAATCAATCTTCCTAATAAACAAATCGCCCTGCAAAATTTCAGAAAATTTCAACAAAAAGCATGCTTCAAACAGAATGAACAAAATCATGACGCACACACTAACATTCATACATACAGAAATTACCTGTAAATTTTTTTGCATTTCTTGACTTTTCAAGGCATTCTCAGCCCAAAAGTGTAAAAATCTTTTTACACTTTACACTTTTTACACAAGGGGGGGTCATTTTTCGCTGGATTTCCGATAAGAGTTGGGAAAATAATATTACTGAATACAGAATATATACAATAAAATGCTTAATAGTTTACACAAGCAGATGTCTAAAAATACTCTACACCATATCAATCGAAGAATCCCACATGCCCAAAGAACTAATCGAGAACAATAAAGAATCAACTGACCCAAAATGTGTTCCTGGAGTATACTGAATCCTATCATCAACCACTGCTTCAACAAAGAATTAGAATATGTCGAAGCCATGGTAGATGCCATTAGTACCAGGATAATAGAGTCTCAGTTAACAATAAGAAAAGGTGATTTGCAACAGTTCTATTAGTATACACAGTAAAATGATGTGGCAATTGACTTCCAAAGGAAACAAATGCGGAAGAAGGTACACAGCACAGACCTTCCAAGAAATAGATAGCAGCTTGAGATCTACAGATCTGCTCTAGAGAGCAAGGAAATGAATTATAAAGACACTTGTTCAATTTTGTGTACATGGAAAATGTGCTATGAATTAGTATAAACACTTGTAAATATGACTTCTCTGATTGACGTCATTATCAATTTTTAATATATGTTGACAGATAACACAAATTTATATTGTATTATAAACTGTATATGTCTTAATATAAACCACATTGAGACTTTTTACCCAATAGCATCATAGTTAAAAATATTTTGAATGGAATTCCAAATTGTTGTTTGAATTTGTTGGTTTGTAGAATGTACAGGTACCTGATGAAGGTCATTCAAAACTATCAAAAACATTAACAATTTTGTATTAATTTTAATATATTTCTAGAATTTATAAGGTTATGGTGATAGCAATTGATGTACCATGGTATACCAATTGAGAACCATTGTTCTGTGTGAAAAATAAAAGAATCTAAAGTTTTCTAATAAAAGTGAGGCAGAACAATTTACAATTACTGTTAAAATTATTCAATAATAGATAACATTTTATGAAGTTTCAATAAACAAATCAATTTATAATCCTTTAGGCTGCGTACACACTAGGCGTTTTTAAACGAGCGTTTTAAAGAACCAAGAGTTCTATATAGGCGTACACACTCAAATGCGTGCTTTTGGCCAAGTGCGCGTTAAACGCATGTCTATAGATTTTTGTTAAAACGCGCGTTTTGCAGGCGCTTTGAGATATATGTGCTGCCATGTTACTGTACATTCGATCGCGCATTTTGCGGGCGTCAGCCTAGCGCTTTGAGATATATGTGCTGCCATGTTACTGTACATTCGATCGCGCGTTTTGTGGGTGTCAGCCGAGTGTTTTGAGATATATGTGGTGAAATGGAGAACGATCATTTCGATACTGATCTATTTATTGATGAAATCTAAAAGAGACCAACCGTCGTCAAAGGGTTTTATAGATATTTTAAAAGAATTAAAAATTGGGGTTCATTTTGTCTTAGTTTTGGATACAACGTCGCAAACATTCCATGTGTCACTCTATCTCGTAATATTGGGTGCACCCAAAATTCTCTTTGCCTCTGCCATCGTCTTTTATAGCAACGATGGAGGAGGCACACACAAGCAATTACTTTCATGTCCATTTCCAAACTGAGCCAGTGCTAATGCCGAGCTAACGTGCATTTAAAAACACCTAGTGTGTACGCAGCCTTCATGTTACTTTCAGAAAAAATGATATAAATTTTAAAAAATTACACGATATGACGAACATAGTTTTCTTACCCATCTCATCTGACTTTCACTAGTAATTTCTCTCCAGAATCCAGCAAAATTTGAAAATATATGATTCAAATTTCTTCCAACAACAATTGGAGTTAAGGCATTAATACAGCATGCAACTATTTGACAAACATTTTTGAATATCTAAAATTTGCAACTAACAAATCTATGAAACATATATAAAATACACACCTACTTCTGTAGCTTTACCCAAAGTAAAAGTAAAGCCATGTCCTTCTAATTTTGTATCTGTACTCAATATCACATAGGCACAAGAATAGTCTGGATCTTTATGCTAAAATAACATAATGGTAGTGTCATTTAAAATTACAAATGGTGTGTTATTATTGTATTACATAAACTTACCATTGCATCACTTCCATCTGAGGAAAGAGATGTGGGAAATCTTACATCTTTGACTTTAAGACTTTCTATTACACTTGCCATTTTGGTTATTTTATTAAAACTCCTAGCTGGAATTTAAGACAGTTAACCAGATTAGATTACTGTTTAATTTTAAGTCAAACTATCAAGGTCAAATTTTCAATGATAATTAATTTGATAAGTTATCTTACTATATAAAATTGTAAGAAAAACGCTACAGAGATAATTATCAGCAAGATATGTTGCAATTTTCTAGAGTTTGTTCCATTTATATATACTAAATTAACTTTTAATTCGTCATTTTCGTTATGTTTTGGATGGCTGCAAGTAGATTTTTAAAGAACTTTCACGTTCTACACCATTGCATTATTAAATTTAATTGGCTACGCCAGTATTTAAGACATTTAAATACTCAATGAGAATCAAATACAGTATTCGAATTTACACGTGTTTACTTCTACTACAGCGTCCTCTTTCGGGTATAATTAGGAGCCAAAAGTTAATAGAAATTAATTCAGAATTAAAAAACGAAATAATCCCAACTTAAAAATTGTAAATAAAATTAAAAAATTAGTTTGATATAAAAAATAAATTATATATATTTTAACTTCCTGAACACACGAGTAAATTAATCGCACGTCAAGCGTCTTAACGTGGTCACATTGTTCGCCGACGTTGCAACACGTGTCCTTGTAATAAACCGTTAATTTTTGACTACTTTCGCGTGTTTACCGACAGTTTACGTTCTACTTCAGAGTATTTATTTCTTATTAAAAAGGCAAACAGTTCCTCCTTTTCTGGAATGAATAAAAGAGAAAAGACGATAATTTTGTTAGAGCTGGCGAGAATATACGAAGTTCATGCTGGGTTAAAACTTTGCGAAATAAACGGGCTAAACAATCATGCTTCCACTTTTCCTAGTAAAAAATAAAACATACAAACCTGTGTCAATCTTAATTTTGATACATACTAAAGTTTCTGTTTGATTAGTTAACAGCAAATTATTTCTTCAGCTATAGTTACACCCAATACAGGCAACTTAAACAGAAATGCTCCACAGTATCCACAATAAATTATAGAGCTGTTCTCCACAGTGGCAGTCACATCACTGTTTGAGATAGAATATAAAGCTGTGTAGTTAATCTAAAAGGTCAACTTATTGCCAATAGCATGCTCTAGCATTCTGCAATATTCTAGTCTCTAAACAAGGACAGCTTCAATCCTTTCTTCAAGACTGCATACATTCTCTATTCAAAATGTTATCCAGAAACATCTGATATAAAAAGATTTGCATAACTATTCCAAAAATGCATCTTAATGCATAATTAGATTAAGATTATTAAAACTACATTCTAATTTCGACTATATTGTGTTTATTATGAGAATTCCTTAAATTACAGAGACTATATGTTTAACCTACTGTTTGTTATATAAATTTCAGTACTGCCATTAAGAATTGTCAATATTTACTTCCTCAACAACTTTTGTTTTAAAATAACTTTCAATCTAATTTTACAAACAATATATTGAAGTATTATCATAAAATCTCACATCAATCAACAACAAAAATTATTTTATTTTCTTAAAAAAGAATAAAATATTTCCTTAAACAATGTTAAAAAGTAATTTTTTTAAACAAATATTTAATTTGAAAATAACTTAAATCTATTTCTTATTCTTAATTTTTCCCAAAATACGAAAAATTCTTTTTTTCAATTGTCTTTGATTTTGTTGTTGTTTTGCTTCTAATTTTCTTTTTTCTTTCTTGTGTGCCTTTACTCTTAACCACATATTAATTCTCTCTCTTTTTATCTTCTCATTATGAACAGCAGACATTGTTTTCATTAAATTAGCAACTTCCCTTTCATGTGGTTCCAATATAACTGCCACTCTCTTACTTTGTATGCTTGGAGTTTTCTTTGTGGGTTCCAGTTTAGGTTTATCTCTGTATGGTAATTCTTTCTGTAAGTCACGAGGAATAGTTAAAGGAGCAAAATATCTCTTTTTCCTTTCGACAGGAGTGTAGAGAGAATCTTGAGAAACTTTTGCATGAAGACCTCTTTCGTAACGTAACTGTCCAACTGTCCTCATTCCTTGCCATTTGGCTTTTTGTTCGGGTGGTAGTAATAACGATGTCACAACTGCATAAAATTTCGGAATTGTAACAGTATACCATGTACGTAAAAATACAATATCACTTAACAATATTTTATCTTCAAATGATGCACGAAAGCCACCTTCTGGTGAACGAATGGCTTTTTTAATTTGTCCACGTATCCCGCTGACTGTTCTAATTGCTGCACCTTCAAATTTTGCTACCTCCAAAGTACTATGAAACATGTCTTTGATAAATGCTGTTTTTCGATATATTTTAAACGGATATCCACAAAGTTTCAACTTTTTCACTATTTCTACTGATTTATCCAATCCTAACACAACACCAGTAGCAGCTATTCGGAAACCTGGTTTAATATCACAAACTGACTGGACGGCAATAAGACCAGTATTTTGGGGTGTTATTGGACCCCAGAATGAAGCAAAACAATGAAGATGCTGAGGAGTGTATTTCAATAACCTATACCTTGCATTATGATCCTGAATGGAGTAAAGTGGCATAACTTGAAATCTGCGCCAACCTAATGATATGATTAGAGGATCACGAGTCTTCAAAATTTTTGAATACCAACGATGCTTCTTTAAACGAACTTGTACATATCCCATAGAATCTTCTCCTTTTAATAATCCTCCTATAATTACTGGATAAGTTGGATCAAAATGAGTGACAAATTCACAGGGCATGTTATCTAATTCTATTCTGATGTACATTCCTGGTCGATAACCTTCATACTGTACTCTCAGATTGTCAGTCATGTTATCGAATTCAGTTTTGTTCAATTTTGCTTGCTGATCCAATTCTTCTTTGAGAGTATCATAATACGATTTTCCATCTTTGTTATCATATTCTGAGTCAAATAATTCTTTCAATTTGCGTTTCCTTTCCATTCGTTTTTCTTCTGGTGTTTTTGTTTCCTTTTTATCTTCATTCTCTTCTTCACCTTCACTATCATCACTTTCATCTTTTTTATTATTGTCGGTATCTTCCATTTCAAGATCTTCAAAATCACCAAACAATTCATCATCTTTCTCAGATGATGCAATCATATCATCCTCTGATCCCAGTTTACCAACACTAAAACAATCTTTAATGAAATCACTTACACTTTCATCTTGCCAATCTCGCATTACTGGAATTTGAAATTTCGAACAATCACTACCATTTAAAAATGATTTCATTTTATCATTTTTCACTTCTTTCAAAATATCATCATAATCATCATCATCATCATCATCTCCATCACCATCATCTTGGTAGAGATCATTTTCATAAACAAGTTTATGCAGATTTCTAGTATCTTTCTGGCGTTCATAAAATGTATCAGCTGCTTTCTGGACCAGATTTTCCTTCCATTTCAAGCATCCCTCCTCTTCATCATCATCATCGTCATCATCTTCAAAAGTTACTTTTTTCTGTTTTGATCTAACATCATTGTTTTGTATATCATCTTTATCCCATTGTAGATCATCATCACTGTCAGCAAAAGCATATTTTTCAGAAGTGTTCTTATTGATAACCACATCACCTATTGATTTCTCTTTCATAAATGATTCATTCTCAGATTCATCTTCGGAATCGTCACCATCATCATTTGTCTGAATTTCTGTATGTTCTTCATTTATTTTGTTATCTGTTTCTCTATTATTTTCAGTTGATTCTGTATTTTTGCAATTAGACTCTTCATTAAGAAAATCATCCATTTCTTCTTCTGTTAATGGTTTAGTATTGCTAAATAAACTGAATTCACTGGCAGCCATTTTACTGTCTATAGAATGTTCAGTGTCAACTAATATTTTTACTAAATCTTGAGATGGTTGTTGTGATTTTATTTGTGTATGGGAATGACTTCCACCTAGTTCAATATAAACAGCATCTTTATCATAAACTATTCCACCAATTCCTGATAACGGAGCATATATTAAACGTTCCTTCTCATTTAAAGATCGACGTTTTTCTTTATCGGGTAGAGGACAAGGATCAGGCAATAAACTTACTTCTTTAATTAAGTAATCACCACAACCTGGAATATGTACTTGACTCTTATTTCTTAAAGGTGCTCCTCTGGTATATCCATACAGGCAAACACGGCGGTCTACAACAGGATTTTTTCGAACAACATCCAAATTAGTCAAATCTTCCATTCTATCGACAAGAACGTACGGATGAGATGTCTGCCACTGCAGCGGTCTAAATTTCATAACAGAGATAAATCTTCCCAAATTATGAACTTCAGTTTTCAAGTATTCTTCTCGAATCATACCCGACAAATAAAACAGTTTTGCACCTTGATAGATTTCGGTCCAAAACCTGTGTTTCATTTGTTTCTTTGTTTTTCTTAATGCTTTTGCATTCTTGAAAACATCTAAATGCGTCAGTACACCCATAATTCTTGGAAAACCATGAACTTGGCATATGTTAAGGAATTCGAAAGTTTCCATTTCAAATCCAAAACTTGCATCCACAAGCAATAATGCCAAATCTGCAATTTTAGCAATGTCAATCATGTTATTGATATCATTATTACATTCAATCAATGTCAATCTTCTTTTCTTTCCTGATACTACCGTTACAGGGCCTCTGATGTTTGTTAAAGTTTGACGAGTGAAATTCTTTACTAAACATTTCATAAGTGTAGTTTTACCAACTTTTGGTGGACCAACGATAGCAACTATAATTGGAGGTGGTTCCAAAGGTGTTCGATCGACTAGTGGTATATGATGTTTTTTCTCCTGAATATCCATTTTTCTTCTAAATTTCCTTGCTGCTTTATCAACAGACTGAATGGCAAAAGCTTTGGGATTTCGTTGCTGTGCAGTCATGTCTTGAACGTGGGGATTCTTTGCTTTTTTCTTTTCAGCTTTCCTCCCACTATGTGCCACACGATGTGGCTTGTTTTCTTGCTTCGTCTCCGACATTCTTAAGATCTGTATCCTTCTTCTTTACGAATAACAACTAATATTAAGCTATACTCACGTTTTAGCACACGTGGTCGGCCATTACGGTCGTCGGTAAACACGCCCTCTAACGGATGTAAACGGCGATTTTAATATTAAAAAAAATTGTTTTATTTCACATAAATAAAACAAACAATTATTAAATAATAAACAAATTATTAATAAATACAAAATGTATTTTATCATTAATTTATTAAGAGTTAAAATTAAAGAGTAGTTTTTAAAGTACCGACCTACGGGCACATAAAAGGCTTATATTTTAGCAGGTTTGTTATGGGTTCGGCTAAGCCCACAATGCACCGGTCGGGTAGGGTGGTGGGAAACGGTGTTTGACATATTCTGACTGGCCACCCCCGAAAAATTTCTGCAGATTTTCCACCCGTCCGCATTCTATTCCCCTCAGAGCAGTTGGCTGCCATATTTACCAATGTTTTCCAATATTTCTATTTTATTAGTTTATTGCTTCATTGTTTCCCGAGAATAGTAAACGTGGAATTGCTTCTCATTTTTTGAACATATTGACGCTAATGCTCCGTGTAATAAAACGTATATGAATGGTGTTACGCGGCCTCCGAAAGGTTGAAAACCATTGGATTAAATAAACGATATATATATATCCATTAAAATTTGATATGAAAAACTATATAANATATATTTTAGATGATGGAAACTATACTAAAATTAAATAGGAAAAAAAGGATAACTGCATACATAAAAAATAAACTTTCATTACTGAATTATTTAGTCTTTAATTAATAATATTAAGTAAATATAAGATATGACATTATAGAAAAAGATTTGTTAAATATAATTTTAAGCTGAGATTATAAATTGACATAATACACCTAATTCAATTTCAGACATTTCAGATTCAATTTTTCAATAGTTTCTTGGAGAAAACACAAAATTTAAATGAATTAAAGATGTGTCTAGTAGATTTTCATGAAATTAATCTACCTAATAAAACATAAATCATGAATATGAGAAGAAAATAAAGATCAAATCAAAGCTTTTCATTTAACCAGAAGACAACTTGAGGGCACTTCATATTACTGTTATCAATAACATTAATCTAGAGTCATAATGCTTATTGATACTCAAAATAATTAAGAAACTCCAAAATACATAAAAAGAAAACAATAAATGCTTTAATGGAATAAAGTATTTTAATATTTTTTCCTTTATTGATATTCTCCAAATGCAGCAGCAAACTCCTGCTTTTATGACTTAACTGACTTCTAGAAAAGTGTATATTTAAATTTATGGAACAGAATGTAGAAGATATTGGTTCTAGTCCCATAAATACAACTCTAATTATACAATATCACATTGAGATGATCAGCAAAACAAAACAATATTGCATTTCATAAAGTATAATAGAAAATTTAATCAGTTGTAAAAGTGGAGAGTCATAAAATTAGTAGTAGTAGTAGTAGTATAGCTCGATCTAATCTGGCAATCATTTAGCTTTAATATAACTATCGGGCTTAGAAATGTCTATATTTTTATAAAGCAAATAATTGTAAAGTGGAGATTTACTGTTTATATTATTACCTAAACCATGTTTTCAATTTACTATTAAAAAAATTATTACACAAAGTTACATTCATTCATGCTAAATATTAATAATAATGAAATGCTATTAAATTCTTACCAAAGTATTATTTGGTCCAATCAAATTTCTCATAACAGTTAATCGTCTTTTGTCATCCTTTACATCCACACCTACTTTAACTTTGAATCTATTAATACAAGAAAAAGTCTTCATTTAAATATTTAGAAAATTTCAATGTAACATTTAAGCTTTGTTAAATACCCACTTTTTACTTTTACATTAATTATAATACTGTTTTTAATTTAAAAACAAATTCTTGCTTATGTGAGATCAAGTGGTGAGATCCTGCTCGTTTATCAGGATAGTTTTTACTAAAGTGAGTAGGTGGAGAGAACGGTAAGATCTCTACTTCTAAACCATCAGGGCTCTGAAATCAGTCCTAAATAGGGCACTAACAGACTCAAATTAGTCCAACCGATTAGTTTAATTTAATCCAAGTGGTAATGTACTTTGTGGGTAAGGTGATGGAATTAGACCAAAATATTATTTTTCTATTACCTCTATATCAGTAGATTTCTGTTATCATTGAAATGGGCTGATCAGACTTCAAAGGTTATATGGAGGACTTTTGAATTTGGGCATATCGAAGGACGAGAAAACTGAGAGAACCTTAAGAGGTAACTAGAAAGAACTGGCGAGAACACATGAGAACAAACAAATCATGAAAATTTAGTGTTCTCAACTTTCATAGTCCGAATCACCTCCAATGAAGAGTTACTAAGACCCCATGAGATGGGAACCAGGGTTAAGTCACACCACATGATGTGTCAACAAATTTTAAGATAATTAGTGTCATCGAAGGAAATTGATCTAATCTCAGCCAAATAGAAAAGAAAGTTCCTTTTCCTTCATTAACTAAATTCGAAAGTAAAACAGAATTTAATGACTATTCTGAACAAACAAATTCTCAACATCTTTAAATAATAAAAACAAAATTAAGTAAATCATGGAAAAACATTTTAGATGGCCTCCAGGTTCTCACACTTAGATTTCAAAACAAGAAAATGGTATACAGATAGTCTCTGACTTTTGGTTATAATGCACAATGCCTAANAATATATTTATCCCTAATTCCTTCCATAATCCTATATTTTGTCCACCGCAGTCACTAACAACAGCAACAACAGTATATCCTGCATCAAAAAGTTTTGAAATAACAGTAAATAAAAGTTGTTTTTTCATTTTAACATCAAAATCCATGTAAACTGGTTGTTTCCATGATGCAAATAGTCCTCTTGCCATCATCACTAAAACTTGATTATTGGGTCCAATAACTTTATCCCTCACTTTATCATATTCATATATATGCTTTACCTGAAATATCAGTAAAATGTTAAAACAGAAAATTAAAATAATTATTGAATTATGTGGTTTTATTAATATGAGTACAGTACAGTATATACAGTATTTACCTGCATCTCATCAAACTGAAGAACCTTTCAATAATGATATAACAAAATCTTTCTTTTTTTCATTTTTTCATGTTCTTTTTGAATGATGACAGTTTTACTTTTCCAAAATTTCAGATTTCTCTGGATTGCTTGCATTCTTATCTCAATATGTCTAATCTTCATATTTAAAATAGAATTTTCATGTTTTAATTTAAAATTAAGATCTTCTAAAGTTTTACAATTGTTACATTTGTTAAGAGATTCTTCTCCTTTATCCTGTTTATTTACATCTAAAAGTTTTTCTATCAGGTTTTTTCTATTTCTTTTTAATACACGATTCTTTCTTTCATTTGACTGCTTAGTATTTTTATTTTCTATTTTTCCTAAATTTACTGTTGGTAGTGAAGTTTTCTTTAGTTTAGGTCTTGCCAATAAACCTAATAATTCAGCTTTTAAATTTCTCTCAAAAGCATTTTCTGTGAAATGATCAGAGCAAACATGACAAGAATCAGGATTAATTTTGTCTTTTCTTTCACAGTTATGGATCCATTTTCTTCTTATTATTGGATCTTTAAGAAATCTAAAATAACTGACTTTCATGTCTAATGACTTTGTTTTACAATGGCTGTTATCAGAATTTGCAACAGCACACGTTGCTCCTGGCATCTAAAAATAATAAAATTTTGATATTTGCGTAAATATGCATATTTTAAAAAGTTATATTAATTAATAATAAACAATATTTTTTTACATCGTAGGTTATTTTAAAAGTGTTACCATCCTGTTACGGGCCAGCTTATTATTTGTAGTCGTCATTTCATCGAGCAGATACTATTTTTATACATGCAGAAAACTATTCTTAGTATTTTAAAGTATTTTATTAATGAATATATTTTATCCGTAACCATATTCTGTAATTTCTACAGAACGAAGAGTAAAGACTACAACAAAATATCAAACTGTTCTAGAAACACTTTTGTTAGTTCCGAACAATTTTTATCGATATAATTATCAACATAATTATGTTTAATAATAGTAATAACTATAGATATATTTACCTTCGAAGATTATCAGTGTAAAAACGCTCGACAAATTAAAAAAATAGTTAAATTCCAAAATTTCCTTACCTCGCTTACAGTAGCGAAGCAGTCGCTAGGCCACGGTTCGACTACGGATGACGTATATCCGGAATCTGGCAGGAAATGGCTAAATCGGCTGTATGAGGCAACCTTAGAAATCTAAGACCTTGGGCCGGCGAAGCCCACAACGGACCGGTCGAGTATGGTGGAGAGAAATGGTGTTTGACATATCCTGACGGCCAATCCTCGAAAAAATTCTGCGGATATTCCACTCGTCCGCATTCTATTCCCCTCAGAGCAGTTGGCTGCCATATTTACCAATGTTTTCCAATATTTCTATTTTATTAGTTTATTGCTTCATTGTTTCCCGAGAATAGTAAACACGGAATTGCTCCTCATTTTTTGAACATATTGATGCTATGATCCGTATAATAAAATGTATATGAATGGTGTTACGTAGCCCCCGAAAGGTTGAGAACCACTGGATTAAATAAACGATATATACATATCCATTAAAATTTGATATGAAAAACTATATAAATATCAAAGTAATGTATGCTGTATATTTTTATATTTATATATTTAAAAGTTAACAAAACCAGATCAAGCAAGTTTAGGCTAATGAATTTTATCTAATTGTATTTTGCGGATTCCGTCGTTGTTCGTAGGAGATCGCGCCCACCAGTGGCCAAGATTTATATATTTAAAAGTTAACAAAACCAGATCAAGCAAGTTTAGGTTAATGAATTTTATCTCATTGTATTTTGCGGATTCCGTCGTTGTTCGTAGGAGATCGCCCACCAGTGGCCAAGAGGTTTTCGTACCCTGAACACTGGGAGTTCGATCGTGGGTTCGCGCCTCGCTCGGACAGGTTGGCCAAGTGGTGTTTCCCGGGGTTTCTCCGCGTCCATAACGCCCAAAATAGCGGCCAGTTTCCCTTAAAAAACCTCCCGGATGGCATCCCCCCTAGGCAGATCGCCCAAGTGATGTGTTGTCATAACTAAACGAACAAATAAACAATCCTAGGGAATCGACGATTCGTTAACACTCAGAAGATATTTTCGGAAATATCACCACCTTTTGTAATTGATTTCCTCTCAGTTACTACGCTAAGCCGAAATTTTTGGAACGGAGAGGGTGAACATCAAAACAAAGTTTTTCTATTTGTAAAACCTTGTTTCGCAAAGTTTTTAAATCCAAGATTACTAGGACAAGCTATAAAAAATACTGTCTAATGACAAATTATGAATCAAATTACCTGCAAATTCAACACTTCAATTGTATACCAGCACAAACTCAATTAATCTCTTTCCAATTACTACCTGATACAAATTCTCACCGGGTTTAGAAACCTCAGATCCTACCGGTTTTATTTGTTCTTCTATTTCCCACATCATAACAGATATCATCGAATTGGAAGAAAATTGATCTCTGCTTCAGTAACTGCACTTCAGGAGTTTTTGTCTTACCTTTTGGATTTTCAGCTTCTCACTAACAGATTTTGCCTGGGATACATTAGATCTCATTTTTTACTAAAAATTTATCTAATGAAATGTGCTTTTGCCTACGTTTCACAATGTTATAGAAGTGAGACATAGCATTGTTATTTAAAAAGGTCAATGACACGGCTTGCTACTGCCTTATCAGGATGATACTCTTCAACAAAACTCTGCACTTTACATCATTTTGCACACATTTCTTTAATAAGAGCATTAAGCACATCCTCCTTTCCCTCAGAAGTTTAGGGAGTTGACTATATGTGCTTCTCTTATCTGCGCCAGCTGGCTCTTGCCGAGTAGCTTGTTCGGAAACCAAGTTATCGCATGTAAACGGAGAAAATATGGCGTTCATAATTTTGTTCGTAAACAGGGGCGTTCGTAACCCGAGGTTTGACTGTATATATATATTTATTACTTTATTTTTCATATTTTTACTCATATTTTATTCTTATTTCTTAAATTTTAAACAAGAATTATTGAGACTCCGAAGAGGTTTTCCGCGTAGCAGCGTTTTTATCCGCATCATTTAAATATGTTGTAACATTATCAATGGTCTGAATGAAGTAATCAGATAAATTATTTGGTATTGGTACGAAACAAAGCAACAGAAAAACCATCTGAAATAAAAATAAATAAAATTTAATAACTTTAAAACAAATCATTATGGATTACTTTGAGAATCCAATAATAATGAATGTATCTGGAGAAAAAAGAGATGCGCTCCAGAAAATAAAGCCATCCAAAAATTGTCCAAAACATCAACATTCTTTTCGATTCTTCTATATTTTCCTGTTCTATCGATTTTACTCTACAAAGTATAACAAGACGATAAGTGGATAAATATAAAGAAGACTTTTAACTGATACACGAAGACAACGACAATAAATTTAAATATCGGTTAAATGAATTAGAATCAGTAATATGAAGCATTGGAGGAGATAGACCATAATTAAAATATTTTTTGATTTTATATCCAATAAAGGAAATGGCGTTGATTTTACCTCTCTGAGAGATTCACGAGACTCTACCAATGGCCGAATGGATAAAACCACGGAACACTGGTAGATAACATTTGACCGATGGATTGGCCACGTAGAGTTTTTTTCACGTGTATAACACTTAAGTATAGGTCAGTTTCTCATAGAAAGTCTTCTCGGAATTCATTCCCTTTTGGCAGATCACCCAGGTATTGCGTTGAATTCCTTACCTTTACAATCCTGAAGGATTCAAATTCACGTTCGTGTCTACCCAAAAAATTCAAAGGATGGTTTAACCTATATGTGTCATGTTGTCCCTATTGTGGCACTATAAATCGAATTTATAATGAAAAAGTAATATAATTTTTTAGCGTTTGCAGAATTAAGAGTTAAGTATAATTTTCACATTACCCGAAGATATTAAGCCTAAGCCTTTTTGTCCGTCACGAGGCTTATAATAAAGATGATCTAATTTGGTCAAAAAAAAGGCCGACAACCAATTTTTGGAAATTTAGGAAACGATTTGGTTTTAGACCCCGGGCGGAAGGCTGGGCTCGACCATCTGGTCTTCTGCGCTTATAGTCATAATACGTTAAAACAATCAATTAAAAATTAAAAGAAAAAAAACAATTGTTATGTATAAATTATAGTATAGTATTTATGACTTATTATGAATACATAAAATGAATAAAAATCATATTTACGAAGAATAAATCGGATAGATGATTGCAGAAAAATTACAGACAAATTCTGCTCCGTCTCCAATGATCAAATAAACTCCAAGAAAGAGAACAAAAACTAAAAAAATATTTAAAAAATAAATATTAAATAACATACTTATTTAATTAATAATTAAATTTTTTCATATCATTTATTGTACGTCTAATTATAAGAAACACACAATGTATGAGATTTATTTTAAAAATATATTTTTTGAAGTTTTTCTATCTTATATGAAAAAAAAACCTATATTACATTCCAAACACTCTGCCAAATTCAATACAGAGTGGCTGAATAGTAAGAAATATAATATTTAGCAACTCAAACTCGAACACGAATCCTCCAGCTGCAAGTACTATAATCGCTTCGACCATTCAGCCATCAAGTGTATATTCAATTCAATACTGTACTTTGTTTTTATATCGTTTATAAATTAGTTTAGTTTGGAAATATTTATAAATTCATATCATTATAGATACACCTAAATTGATATTGATTATATATTATAAAAAAACTACCTAAGAAAACTTGTTCTCTTTTCAATCCAAATGTATGGCCTAATTTATCGAGAAGTCTTGCATTTGCATTATTTAATCGTAATTTTTTGTACACTACATTAAACACATTTCTAATTAATTGAAACATTGTTCATTCCATTAATTTTGAATATTCATTCGATTACAATTCAAATTATTCAGAATGTTTTTTTTTTCATGGTTAGTTTAGACAAATTAAAAACATTATCTAAATATTTATAAATTAGTCCTATTGCGAAGCATTTATTTTAAATATTGATTTATTAAAGATTTTGAAATTTATAAATTATAGAAATTTAAAAACATAATTTCACTCTTTAGACAAGAGGGAGTTATAAATATGCCCTCTTGTGGTGATGAGAGAAATCAAATTTTTAAATTGAATTTAAAAAAAAATGAAGAAATTACATTTAGTGAAGCTTAAAATAATATTTTTAATATTAAAATATTGTATCTTTGTTTTCTTTTTTATTTGTATTTTTAGGAAAATATTAAAAAAAGCGGGATAGGTAAACTTAAAAATACGGCAGTGTCACCAATGACGGCCGGATGGCCGAGTGGTCAAGGTGGCAGCCCACCGCTCTGGGGGACACGGGATCGAATTCGGACGAGTCAAGGAATTCCCAGGAATTTTTCGGGGGTTGGTCCGTTCGGATAGTTCAGGCACCGCTCTTCACCACCAGGTCGGCCTGGCCGAATCCATAATGGGCTTGCTATAAGAGACCCTTTTAGTGCCCACAGGGCTGAAAGGTATAAAAAAAAAGCCAAGTATATTCAGACCGGATGGCCGAGCGGTCAAGGTGGCCAGCTGTAGGCTGCCACCTTGACCGCTTTTTCGACCTGTCCGGTTTCGATCCCGTTTCCGGGGTTGAATCCGGACAGGTCGAAAAATCCTCAGGAATTTTTGGGAGGTGATTAGGTATGTCGGATATGTTGGCCCCCGAGCTTTACCACCGGCCGCCCCATTGTGAGCTTTGCCTAACCCATAATGGGCTTGCCAAAAGAGGCCTTGTTAGTGCCTACGGGATGAAAAGAGAATATTATTACATAATAATATGATAACATCTTTGTAAAGAGCAAACATCGTATAAAAATAGAAGCCGCATATAATTAAAAATGATATTACATTAAAGATGACAGATGCTATCAATTGGCCTAATTAAATTTTATTTTACTAAAGAGAATTCTATAAGTATAATAACCAAAACATAGCAAAATAAATAGGTATGCGGGTATTTAACTCAAAAATTTTTTGAAATTTCTCCTGCACCGCAGGAACTATGATGGCCATTTTCTTCATACCCGTATGAAATAACGCCTATAATTGATGTGGCCGAATGGTAATTTATGGGGCATACATATCGTTTAACTTATCCAAAAAAAAAATTTCGAAATCGACCAAGATTTGAATGAGAGTGTCCCAGACCAACAGTTTACTTTTTGATCTGATGATACGTTCCGGAAATATTAAGTTACAAATTTCTGAAATTTCTCTATAATTTTCTGTAGGGAGTTTATTAGAAACATTTTTGCATATTGAAATTCATTGTGAAATTTCTTGAAAATTTCTTGAAAATTTCAATTCATTGAAAATTTCACAATGAATTGAAATTCATTTCAATTCATTGTGAAATTTTCCGATGAAACATTCATGTTTATAGTTTACAATGAAATTTGTAACCCTGACAAAGAACTCCGTCCGACGTGAATTTTCTGCACTTTATAAATGCCCAAATAATTTGTGTAATAACTATTGTATCACCTACCATTGTATTATGACTCCAAAGTTGAACCTTATTTATTCCTTTCCTAATTAGAAAGACTTAGGTTCTATTAAATATTAAGTGAAGTGACAAGTGTTATACAGTTTTTGAAATCGGAAGTCAAGAGGGTTCTATCGGTGTGTAGGTTTTTGAAATTGGATACTTCGTTGAAAAGTTATGACGTCTGGAAAGATATTCGAACTTAGCGATAAATTTCTAATTATGTCGGCAGACAGACTGACGGGCTTCACGGTGTTTGAATTATATCTGTGCTGTAAGTACATTTGCCAATTTTTGGAATTGTAGGAGTAACAGTTTTGAAGATTTCAACAACTTTCGGTAAAAATTCGACAAGTCATTGTGGGCTTCCTGCTAGTTATTTCCGAAAAATATTCGGTTGTTTATGAGAGGACATTAACTATTAACTTTGTGCTAAATTTCATCTCGATACACCTTATAGTTTTTGAATTATGGCCGTTCCATCAAATTTTCCTAACCTTCAAAATGTGTTCTATGGCGTAGCCATAGAAACGGTCATTGACTTTACTCTTATGAAGTAGCTGGAAACTTGGGTGAGTAGCGATTTTATCACTTATAATCGAAATAACAAGGAAGAAGGCAATGGCAAACCACTTCCTCAACTCTTGCCAAGAAAACTACATGGACAAGGAATTTCATAATAGAGATATAGTGTTGGAGGATGAGACCTTCGGGTTCGAAAGCACTCTAACTTCTACTGGGGACGAACAAGGAACTTCACTGACTAAGATTGAACATAATGGCATGATTAAGTCAAAGCTGAAAGGGAGTTTAATCATTGATGCAGTCAAACACGAAAAGAAAGTTCCAAGTTTCTTCAAACAACACATATTTGCAACATGGAATGTGAGAAGCATGTATGCTGGAAAACTAGACATAATTAAAAGTGAAATGACAAGAATAGGGATAGAAGTGTTAGGAGTCAGTGAGCTTAAATGGATAGGAATGGGACACTTTGATTCAAATGACTTTAGGATCTTCTATTCTGGACATGATAACTTAAGAAAAAATGGAGTGGCTCTAATTGTAAAAAAGAATTTAGTAAATTTTATTTTGGGTTATAAACCAGTTAGTGACAGAATCATAGTCTTGAGGATGCAGGGAAAACCAGTCAATCTGTCAATCATTCAAGTTTATGCTCCTACTACAGAAGCGACAGAAGAAGAAATTGAAGGGTTTTATGAAAAGCTTCAAGAAACAGTTAATAATTTACCAAAAAAAGATGCACTCTTTATTCTTGGTGACTGGAATGCAAAAGTAGGAAAAGAAGAGACTCCAGGACATGTTGGAAGATATGGTCTTGGGAAAAGAAATGATGCTGGGATACGACTAGTGGAATTCTGCATTTCAAATAACCTCTTTATTGCAAATACATATTTCCAATTACATAAACGAAGACTATATACATGGACATCACCAGATGGAAATTATAAAAATCAGATTGATTATATAATAGGTAGCAAGAGATGGAGGAATGCAATCAAATCAGCATGTACCAGACCGGGTGCTGACTGTGGGACTGATCATGAACTCCTTATATCAAAAATATCATTCCATTTGAAAGCTAAGAAAAAAGGAAGGGAAATAATGGGATGTTATGCTACAGATATCACCCCATCTTACATCTCAGAAATAAAAGAAGGTCTCAAAACAATTAATACATCAGGAAAGGAACCTGATGAAGTATGGGAGTCTTTAAAAAACACTATTAAACATACTGCTGATAAATGCATAGGAAAGAAGAAGAAGGAAAATAAGAAATCGCCTTGGCTGTCACACAAATCTTTAGAAATTGCAAACACTCGGAGACAAATGAAAATTATAGGAGATCGTCAAACAATTAAAAAATTAACTGCAGAGTTCCAAAGACAGGCTAGGAAGGATAAAGAAGAATATTTTAATAATAAATGCAAAGAAATTGAATTAAATAATGCGAAAGGACGTACAAGGGATCTCTTCAAAACAATTAAAGAGGTCGTTGGAAAATTTACCCCTAGGCTTGGTATTTTAAAGAACACACATGGAAAAGATCTAATGGAAGAAAGTGAAATAAAGAGAAGATGGAAAGAATATACAGAACAGCTTTATAAAGCAGATAATAATATAGAAGAAATAATTGAAGGAAGACATTTTACTTTGGAACCATCAATTTTGAAGGAAGAAGTGGAATGGGCAATCAACCAAATTTCAATTGGGAAAGCAGCAGGAACTGACGGAATTCCAGTGGAACTGCTCAAAGCAGCTGGAGAGGAAGGAATTAGAATACTAACAAAGCTATGCCAACAAATATGGGAAAAGAAGGTTTGGCCAAAGGAGTGGAAGCAATCCATTTTTATACCAATCCCAAAAAATGGCAATGCAAGAGAATGTTCCAACTATAGAACAATCGCACTAATTCCCCATGCAAGTAAGATTCTGTTAAAAATAATACAGAAGAGAATTGAGCCATATTTAGAAAGAGAATTGCCACTGGAACAGGCTGGATTTAGAAAGGGAAGAGGAACTCGCGATCAAATTAGCAACATCAGATGGATTCTAGAAAAGGCAAAAGAGTACCAGAAGGACGCCTTCTTTTGTTTTATAGACTATAGTAAAGCCTTCGATTGTGTGGATCACTCCAAGTTATGGAAAGTACTCAGGAGCATGGGAATTCCTGAACACCTTATATCTTTATTGATGAGTCTTTACAATGAACAAGAAGCAAAAGTAAGAACTCTATACGGAGAAACTGAATGCTTTAAAATTGAGAAAGGGGTGCGACAAGGCTGCATTTTGTCTCCATATCTGTTTAACTTATATACTGAATATATCATGAGAATGGTTACTACAAATGAAGAGTCCATTGGTATCAAGATTGGAGGCGAAACTATTAATAATATAAGATATGCAGATGATACCACCCTTTTGACAGAAAGCAAAGCAGATTTAGAAAAAATTATCATAAGGGTAAAAGAAGAAAGTGCTAAATTTGGTTTGAAGCTAAATGTAAAGAAAACTAAAGTAATGTCAACTAAAGAGTTAAAAGATTTCATTGTGGATGGTGAAAGAATTGAAGTGGTAGAAAGTTACATACTTTTGGGCTCAAAGATAGAAAGGAATGGAAGTTGTGAAGGAGAAATCAGGAGGAGAATTAATCTTGGCAGAACAGCCATGGCAAATCTCACCAAGATAATGAAAGATAAAGACATTTCCATTCATACTAAGAAAAGAATTGTAGAAGCAATGGTTTTCCCTGTAACATTATATGGCTGTGAAAGCTGGACTCTAAGGAAAAAGGAAAGAAAAATGATAGATGCATTCGAATTATGGGTATGGAGAAGATTACTTAGAGTTCCATGGACAGAAAAGAAAACAAATATCTCAATTTTAGAAAAAATTAAGCCAAGCTTCTCCTTAGAGTCAAGAATCTTAAAACAAAAATTGACCTACTTTGGACATGTGATGCGTAAAGAAGTTTCCCTAGAGAAGACTATTATGCTGGGAAAAGTGGAAGGTAGAAGGAAGAGGGGAAGGCAACGGATAAGATGGATAGAAGAAATAGAAAAAGTCACAGAAATGAAGCTGGATGAGCTACGAGAGACAACAAGGGAAAGATCAAGATGGAGAAGACTTGTCCATGAAGTCACCAGGAGTCGATGACGACTCGATGGAACTTAACAACAACAGGTTCTATTGTATCCACTATTTTAAACGTGGTAAAAAACATAATTTTGTAATCCATTTTTGCAAAGTCCTACTTTTCCAGATTATATCAGATAAAGGTAAACATTTTATGCAATACTATGTTGAGTAGAATATATTTTAATATAAAATAAAGAAACGTTAATAATTGTATTGTTTGCAATTATTTTACAGGTTACTTCCACACCGAGTTTGGAGACAGTTCCGAGAACCGTTCCGTCGGATCAGTTTCAACTGTTCTAGTTCCAGAAGTGGAACTGAATTTCCCATCTTGATATCTTAATAAAGTCAATTTATAAAGACATCACCATTTCCCAGTAAGAAACAGTAAATAAAATTTTTATTTTATTATATAGTAGTATTTATGTATTTTATTTATTGCTTTCATGTTTAAATTATGTAAGGCATGTGTTATTGAATCCCAATAACACAATCAAATGCCTTATATAATATAATTACTTAAAAATCAGAAATTCCTATTCTAATAACGAAACTTGAAATTAAGTCTCAAATTTGAAGTGTATCTTGCACGAGATTAAAAAGTATAAGGATAAAACATAATTAATATTTTTTTATACTTTCATACACTGTATTGCTTATTCTCTCCTCTGTTTAATTACCAAATTCATTTGGTATTGTAGAGAAAGGGAAAATTTAACGCTTCTATCAGAATTTTTAGTATTTTTTTTATTGAACGAATTTTTGTTAGTATTCCTTTGCCCATTACTGTATGTGAATTACGAATAAGTTGCTGAAATTTCTTTCATAACTGCTGCATGATTATTGGGCTTCAATTTTCAATTTGAAGACTTAGGCCTACAAATTCTCACTGGCATCTGCCGGTATATTTTCTGTCCTTCTTTAACCTGCAGAACGCAGTTAGATTGATGAATATCGAGACCTGAAATGGAAAAGTAAGAAACAGCGGGCCTAATTAACTGTATACAAACTTCCGGACATTGTACCGAAAGTAACGCTATTTCAATTCAAAACTAAAGAAGTTAGATAAATGTCCGGCATAAGTCAATTGTTAACAGAAAAAGTATGATTTACAGGGGCATGACACTATTAAAATCGAAAACATATATTTCAAATTAAATAAATTAAAAATATGATTAAAAGTTGCAGGCATTGTGAAGATGTCACAATAAATAATTGCTAGTTACATTTAAGTTCACTCCACTTTAAACATAGATCTTTTCAACAATATTCTGAAAATATATTTAGAAAATTATTTTTAAAAAGTCACTGAAATATTTGTTAGATGATAGAAAGTTCTATTAAAACAAGCATCAAATAGTTTGGTTGTGTTCTTTATTAACCGTGTTATTACATAATATAATATAATTAAAAATATTGAGTACAAAAATAAAATTAGGTAGTTAAACTATAGTGATAATTAAAATACAGCATAACGTTATTTATTGCTGCAAAAAGATTATATGTTTATTAGCATAACATTTTAACGTACAGCCATGGTTTTATTTTATATATTATTCTAGAAAAAGTAATTAAAATAACTCTATAAATCCATAATTTGGCTACATGTGGATAAGAATGATCCACCTACTCACTTATCCTCCTCACTATTACCAGGTTTCATTTGAAAAATCACAAATGAAAAACAAACTGTCCTCAATGAAAGACACTATGGATACGTTTTAATACAAAAATAATCTTTAACTTCAAAATTCCTTTCAAATTGTGCCCAAAAGAAGCCAAATTCTCGTTTTTCTTGTTACCGTATTTATCCATAACACTCGCATAAAGTATCCCGTTACGTGAATCTTTCACATTACGTATATTAAATGTATTAGTAAACGGAAATATATTATATCTACATCATACATAAATTTATTTGTATAATTAATTAATACATCATACGTAAAAATAACTTTATATACACTAATTACAATAAAAATTACCGCATCATGAAGTTGTCCGTAGATGTGTGTGTAACAATGATATAAGTTAGTGATTTAAAATGAAAGCAAAATGATCATTTACTACAGAAAAAATTACAAATGAAAGGCGGTTCTAGTACTCTATTGGGCCACCTCTAACGTGAATAAACGATGTGATACTGGCGGGCGTGGAGGCATACAGGTGATGTATGTTGTCCTACGGCATTTCAGTTCACATTTGCTGCAAGTGGTCCTCTAGTTCGGACAAACTCATAGGCAGTCGAACTTGGTGTCCCAAGTAATCCCAGACAAGTTCGACCAGTGGCAAATCAGACCGAGTAGACAATGAAATGTTGCAATTTAGCGGAGGCAGCCATGTGACACCCTTGCCGCGTGTGGTCGAGCATTGTCCTGTTGGAAAATGGCTCTTGGGAGCCCTGCCATGAAAGGCAACACATGTGGCTGCAGGATGTCTTTAACATAAAGGTGTATATGATGGCACCCCAGATTATCATACCAGCTGTGGAGACGCTGTGCCACTAAAAAGCGTAGACAGATTGAAGCGTTCACTACGGAACCTTCAGACAAAATCGCCGCCGCTGTCAGTGACTAAACTGAGTCTGGATTTGTCGCTGTAGACGACCCGGCTCCATTCCATTGTGGTCCAATCCTGTCGGTCCAATTGCGGTCTAATCCCATTGCGGTCCAATCTCCAAACGGAGGCAACAGTAGGTAACCTCGATGGCAGCACACCTAATGGCTGCTGCAATACCAAATGTTCCTCAACCTGGTGCCTCTAAATGGTACGGACAGATGGCTATAACGCTATAACTCTAACCATTTCTATATCTGTTTGAGACTTATCTGCATGCCGGATTTTCAGCGTTGCGACAACTCCTTCTTGGTGCGCTGAATTTAATGGCAATGAGTGAATTGTTGTTAAAAATGATAACGATTTTATATGATTTTTGGATAGATTCCTAAAAGCATTCCAATTATATTTTTCTTTAGCTGAAATATTTCTGATTTTCTTCAAAATATTCTTGAAATTTAATTATATTTTCGTTACATTCGGTAAGATCGAGAGGAGGTAATTGTCCACCATATTCTACTGGAAGATGCTGGGGAGAGATGAATTTGTGCAGAGATTCTATTCCAGAACTGTGAAAATGCAACTGAAAATATTTGATTTACATTAGTATAGTGACATTTCAATTTTTTTCATTAGAATACTAGAAAGGAATGAAAGCTGCTTTGCGATTTATAACACTAATGTAGAAATCGTGTATTGTTTAAAACATTAAAAAGAAATTCAAATCAAGCACTGAGCAGTAGCACTGAATCTTATTATGTTTGAGATCCTTGCGTACTATTTCGAAAGTATTCAAATTTGAATTATTCAAGCCCTAGTAGCCCAATTTTGACTTCGTATATAGTTACTAGGGGCCTCCTGCCTCTACGCTTTTCATATCTAGTCTCAACTTTTGTGATATTCAACTATTATATGATAGTAAAAGATTGAATTTGACACAATCGGGGATTGCAGGCTAAATTATTAGTAATCTCGCGAGGAACCAACTAATGAAAATTTGTACAAAATTATTTAAGAAGTAAACTAGATTTGAGACTTTCAATTTTTTTAATTTAACTTTTTACTCGTCTGTTTAATCATTTAATACTAATTTACTTCTCATTTTTATAAGCATTTTTTGGTATTTTGTTTCAGAGGGCATTGTATTGTAAAATCTTAACAATAGATTTTATTATGAGATACAGAAGATGTATTCTAGCATTTGCAATTTTTTTCGTCCATGGATTTACTGACCACTTGCACTCATTATTTATAATGATGATCAAAAGTTCATTGAGGGCCAAATATCAATGTAATATAGGCTATATTTCGGCTGTAGTTTAGATTTTCTTCCTCAATATATTTAATTTCATTTTATTTAATTATCAGTTATAAATACCAATTCCCCGAAGTTTCACACAGGCTAATTTAGTAATTTTTTTGTATACTGCAGAAAGTATGTATTATTTGTAATAACTAAATAATAAATAAAATGCTAAATATTACTAATACATAAATATAAACTCACTCTTTTCTTCATTTTATAGGGAAGAAATAGCCGAAATGCTGTATAAAAGGCATATACAAAAGTTCCAATATTTATGACATGAATTGCTTTATAACTAATCGGAGTGGATTGCTGTGTTAAATTAAATACATACTTTAAATTATATTGAGTCATAAAATATATTAAATAATTAAAATTTACGCTGAAATTACTAATCTTAATATAACTTTAAAAATATTACTATTATTAGTGTAGTAATTTACTATATAATATATAATCTAAATAAAGCTTACAAAAACAATGGAAACTATGCAGTATAATGTAGTTGGTGTTAATTGCAAAACATGTCTCCAATATAATGTTTTGGCATCCAGAATTATCACAATTCCGTTGACTTGAATTATATGTCCCGTTATTGCCATATCTATAAACATCATGAAGCATTTTACGACTTCACTGACGTGTACTTTCGAAGGGTCCCAGCAAGCTAAATAAAGCAGAAATATAAATTAATTTTCCAATTATTCACCATTAAAATAGTATAATAAAAACAGAAAATATAAATAAGTTTAGGTTAGATCTCTCAACAGAAAGATCAATCTTAACATCTTTGCTTGAACAGAAACATGTAGACAAAATTTCCTTACATTCTCATCATAATTCGTAATTAAATTAATTTAAATATTTTTAGTTTTCATCATAAATGTTCTGTTTAAGTACTGAATGATTTGATCAAACAACGGTATTTTCATATATAAACTTTTAATTATAAATGTTTTTTTATATGGAGATAAGGATACATAAAGTATATTCATGTCGCTCTATACAGGATACGAATGAATTTTTTTAAGTTTTCAGCGTTAAATATATGATTATAAAACCGTATTAAATTTAGGACGTGGCTATTTATATATACCGATTGTATGTTCTTATATTCCAACCAGATACTGACTGTATGAGCTATTATTACAATTAATATTTTGATAATAACAACACAGTTATAAATATAGTTTTATTTATTAAAGTTCAGTTACAATGTTGTTTAATAAAGTAATCAATAAAATATGAAGTCTCATTAAATCATTGAAATATCAGTAATGAAATTTAAAGTAGATTAGTAGATATACCAATAAAGTAAAATAAATATAGTAGGACCTCGATTATCCGGACCTCCATTATCCGGATTTTCTATTATCCGGATTGTTCAAAATAAACAAAAATTTTACGAATTTGCTGATTTGCACTTGGCAAATTACGACACTGTTTATGTACGTGATGGAATGCATAAATTTTTTTGTTTCAACAGCGTCTCACCTAGCACAGTGGTCGTAAACTCTTAAATATATTTTGCGTCGTAATAAAAATATAACTTGACATACGTATTTATAAATAATTTATATTCAAATTACATCATTTCTATGACCAAGGGCGGCGTAAGGCATGGACGACGTGGGCCACCGCCTATGCCTCGCGGTCCGAAGGGCCTCGCGCCTCGAAGGTTTATGCATTACTTAAAAGCCGCGAACGCGACGAAAAAATTTTACTCGTCATAAAACGATAAATAGTTTGTCAAATTTTTATTCATAAAAATGCAGTTTCAACTGCTTTTTATTTTATAAAATCCGTCTTCTTGCGCCACCAGAGGGTCTTTTAAACAGTAGGTAGTCTGTTAGCGTTGGTCAGTAGTAGTCCAAATTCAATACAAACGTTTGTTTCTTCAAAATTTGATCATGATTTAAGTACAGTATTTATTTTTAATATTACCGATATGTCATCGAAAAGAAAACATGTTGTATTATCATTAAAAGACAAATTAAAGTATTTGTTTCGATTATCCGAACACTTCCTTATCCGGACTACCTTCATCCCCAATTCCTCCGGATAAACGAGGTTCTATTGCATATTACTTTTTATTCTGTATTTTAATTTTTTTTTATTTTTTTGTAAAAAGTGGTCTGCTTAGTCTTTCTCTTCGGACGTCCTTTGGATTTAATTTTAGTTTTGAATTTTAAGTTTTTATTTGATTGATTTGAACAAGGCTCGTTATTAGACTGAATTTCTTCTTCAGGTTCCTCTGGTTTAATTGTACTAAGCTCACTACTCTCGTGTTCAAAAAGAGGTATTCTATTTCTTGCATTGCTTTCTACTACTTTTAATTCCTCTACATATTTATTGAAAGTTTGCGTTCCATAATTAGACAAAATATCTGCAATATTTTTAGTTATCGCCAATGCTGTATTAAATTTTTCCCTATCTGATAATATTTTGTTGGAACAATTAAAATCCATGCTTCTGCCTATGTATTATAAAATTTTGATATTTTGCTATCAAGGTTTTCCTCAATGCCATTATTTTTAATTTACATTTCGATGATTGAATTCTCATTTCTCGATAATCGATATCATAATTAAAATATCAATAATCGAAATTTAGGATATCCTAAATTATAAATTACATTAAAACTGTCATCTTCACGTTAGGGCTTTAAAAGGGTTAAATAGCCAATTGCGTACACATACTATATGTATAGCCACTTTGTTAAATTTATGTGTAAAAATATTGGATACTATGTATAACGTCACAATACGGGCTGCAATTTTAAATCGTATTTTTAATTTATTTCATTTAAAATATACGCTTCCACCTCAAATGCCTTGCCCTGTACATAATACTTTCCATTTAACAATAGAGTCGTGCCGGTCATCTATTAACTAAGTTTAGGGGAAAAGTTTTAAATTGAATAATGCGACTTCCATTTTGAATCGGAAGTAAATGTATTGGGTAAAAGTAAATGAAGCCTATTGCTCCGAGGTTTTCTACTCATTGTCTTACATTTCATTTATTTAACACTGGTCTCAAAATTAAGAAATTACAGACAGACAGAAGACAATGGAAATTTATAAGCCAATAATTATCTCAAATTCCAACCCAAAATGTCTATGAATGAATCATTAACTCAGTCTAATGAGCTAAACGACATTAATATAACTCATTGAACGCGTGTCCTCCCGTCTGTCCGCGTAACGGTATGCAAAAACGGGCACTAGAGGCGCCCTAGCGATGATTTTAAATTAACAACAAATTATTTTTTTTTGTAATACGAATTTATTATTGATATGAATTTATTATTTATAACACGGAATGGTATAAATAATTATTATATGCCTTCATTAACCTTGCGCCACACGTTTACAACATCCCGGGACTCACAAGTTAGTGAACGTCGCGCATTGACTCACGGGAAATTTGTTGAAAAAATGGCGGATACATTTAAAATCGAGGTTTACAACCGAAGATTAATTTATTTAACTATTTTAAAGTTTTATAGAATGTTTAATAGATAGAAATATAGATCCGTATGACGCGATTGGGACTTTAACAGAGCTGTAGAGCATATTGGTAGGAACAAAAAAAGTCAAAGGAATCGTGCCTCATGGGAATTCGTAAAGAATGCCCACTAGAAGGCCTCCCGGACTACTAGTATTTTATAATTTAATGATATTTTATGATAATTATTTCACTTAAGCTAATCACTATATCTACATCGAACATTTTTTGATAAGGCATAAAGACTAAATACTAATAATATTGTCCAGTCAATTACTGTAGAGACGTACTTTGTTCTCTAGTGATAATGTTATAAGTTATAAATTGAGTAAACATTATACAAACACGTCAGAACTTTGTTTATATAATTTATTTTTGTAAATTTAAATGCAATGTAGATTCGTATCAATTCTACGTAAATAAGTTTGACATTTATTCAAACTTTAATTAATAAAATATTATCATTCTTCAAGCGAAAACATTTATATAATTAGAAACGACTTGTCTTCTATGGATTTAAAATTGATTCGACTAGTGTCTGTCCGAATATCGAGGCTGAACCGATTTCTTTTAAACTTTGTAGTATGTATATTCAGTATAATATTTATCATTTCCTCGGATACCTCAGCTAGTAATTTAATAATTAAGTACTTACGGCATCGACCGATTCCCAAAATGCTGCCATCTTGATCCGTGTGAGGGAGATAACCAACTATTTTCATGTCAAGATATTTTTTCACGGCAGCAGGATTAAATTTATCGAATATATTCGGATATTTTTTTCTCGTAGAGTAATAATTTTTTAATAATTTAATTGCTCTTTCTTTATCGAATTTTCTGGCTCTAAGGAAGCTCAAGAGAAACATATCGTCTAAACGACAATTTATATTCTGCTCTGTAATAATACGAAAAAACTAATTAATTGTTAGTTAATTAATATTTATATATGTTATACGATAAATTAGTATAGGATGTTTCAGTATACGTAATTAAAATTCTCCTTCAAGAACGGTCATTTTCAATGTACTGTACTGAACAAATATATTGCTTAAGTCAGTGGTTCTCAACCATTTTGTTGATGTAGCCCATTAGTTGTTTCTCAAGTACCCCATATATTTTTGTATGTAAATTTTATAATTACTGCGTTAAATGTATAACTGAGCGCTATAAAAGAACTCTAACTAACTAACTAACTGTAACTAAAAGTGAATTACTTATTTTAAGTAAATAATAATAAATTTAATCAGGTACATACATTGATTTATTATTATTTGACAAGTATATTATATAAAATCACAAAAGTCATTTCAATACATGCATAAATTACATTTCCTAAAAATAAATAATTATAATTAACGATAAAGAAAATTTAAATTATTCTACAATAATTTCTAACAAAATTTAATGGGATATTTGTTGCGATAAATCTTCAGCAATTTTTTCAAAATTTGGTTCCCACGTTGTTAAATAGAGATTATAATTGTGTACTGACCTTGAAAGTAATGGCTGCGAATTTATAACGTGCAGAACAATACATGAATCTTTCAATTTTTGTAACAAATGTAACGTCTAAATTTGCTAAATATCAAGTAATGCGCGCATGCAGTGACACGCATTGCATGGTGGGGGTACGATCCAAGCCTCGTTATTCTTAATACCAGTAATCCAGTAAAAACATGAAAAGCCCCCAATCTTATTGAGCAATAATTATAGAATAAAAAAAATTTTTTTTTTCTATTCTAAAATTAATGCTCGGTTAAACCGTAATTTTACTAGACTACAGGTTCACTCGGCACTAATGGCACAAATAGACAGGTAAATCAAGTGGATAAACAAGTTGTTTAGACTGTTAAAAGGGAAATCGATGTTCACACTGGGATATTTTAAAGCTTTTGTTTCTTGATTTTGTGTTAATAATTTACAGCAAATTGATTAACATACGCCATTTTATAATGAAAGTTAGATGTACTCCTTAGATTTACGATCGTACCCGTAGGGGTACATGTACAGTACCTCCCCCCGGTTGAGAACCACTAATCTAAGTCTTTATGTTAATTTTTTAAGGTATAATCAAATCTGATGCACTTCAAATCTATTTTCTAATAGAAATACTTTTTTCTTAATTTCTTATGTTACATAAAAAATTATAACTCTAGATTAACCTGGCTAATTAAATGTATAATTATTATATAATTTGGCGTTATCATTTATTCAATTACATAATACGGTCTAACCTGTAAACAAAGGCCACTGACAGCAACATAAAGAATAATCGTTTTCGGGAGGTTATTTTGTGTTCCTTGCAGAAAGAAACGTCCCTGAAAAAATGGCCGCCGTTTACAGGTGGTCGTTATTAGAGGTTTGATTGCATGTATATATTTAATTAGCCAAATTACAGCTCGATGAATCCGGTGTTATTATTTGTTTTTCTTTTAGTTTAGGTTTAGTTTACTCCATAATTAGACTATTCAAGATAAATATGAATTTTTCCTTACCGATTACCATTCTCTTGAAAATTTCAAATTCCCTTTTATTCCATGTTAAATAATCTTTACTTTCTTTATTGCTGCAATCTTTTACGAATAAATCTACATTCATCTCTATAAAATCATAACAAAATATATTTTTATAGCGTTTATTTGTTATTTATCCGCGTAAAGTAATAAAATAAAATCTATATTTCATCAAGTGAAACTAAATACTTAAATACATGTAATTGCATTTATTTAAGTATTTTTACAGTGATATATTTATTTTAAAATAAAAATCAATTTTAAAAAGTTAAACCTCGATATAGCGACATTCTAAATAGTGAAACCCACGTAAAGCGCCGAGAATTTCCATAGTATTGATAAATATAGAAAGAACCTTGTACCCTGCGTTAGTGCACTGACTTTTTTTGCCGTTAGTAAAGTTGTGTGTTTGACCACCCCAACTGTTATTTTTGTCAAATGAAGAATGTAAGTAAAAATTCATAAAGTTTTACTCATTTATTTGATAAAGGCATGTATTATACATATGATACATATGAGGGCGTGTTACTTTGCTATCGAATCTTAGGCAGCGTAAGAGGAAAGAAAGCGTTGTAATGACGTTGTCAATTTGAATACCTCTACAACTATGCCTTCGGCATTCCACAAATCATCAAGGTTCATCCTATTAATGTGATAAATGTCAGCTAAAAAGTAGTAATACAAGAAACGCCTTTATTTTCACACTATCAATATCCCTGGCTCTGCTTGTCACAGCAAAATTTAATCTGTTATCACTGATAAACTCGTTAATATTGTCAACCAATAAATCTACTATTTCCAGACAAATCTACTACTTGCCAGACAAAAATAGGAATTTCCGTATTCACTCAGTATGTTTATCGAAGTCAGCCATTTTGAATTTGTAAGGGAATAAAACTAATTAAAAAAAACTTATAATAATAAACAGAAATAAAAATTCGATTTATATTATAAATAATAAATGTACTGAAATTATATTTATTTTAAACATTTAAAAAAAAACTAAATAAATATTCACGAATCTTGAGAAAAATAACATGGTTAGTACTTTGGGGTATTTGCAAACTCCACGCTGAGAAATGTCATCTTTCTCTTACAGGAGTTGCCGCAACATCATAGCAATTTCTCAACATGCTCTATACATATAAGCTATCGAATATTAGATGTAAAATCTATGAATAATGCAACCTTTAAAACATTTATGATGTCAAAAATCCCCACTGCACTAATGCAGGGCTTAGTGTCTGTTAACAAATAATTATTACCGAATTCTGTGATTTTCAGACACATATTTGCATTCAGATATCAACAATTTTTATTGCATCTCTTCGGTTTAGCGCTACACACAATTTTTGCCAAATAAATGATAACGCTAAATCGAAGATTGAGCGAATCTAATTAAATCGCATAGAAAAACAAATGCCTTACCTTCTGTATCGACTACTGTTTATTGCGTTGGAAAGACTTGGAGTCTGTATGCAATAATTAATCAGTTTTTAGTTTTATTTTATAAATATTTAGTAAGGTTTAAAGTCTGAGATTAGATAATTTTATGTTCCACAAAATAAGATAAAATACAAAATAATATCTATGATAATAACCTGTATCATTAATCTCAAAATAACTCTATCGTAATAAACTATGAACTTTTCTATTGTTTTCAATGTCCATTTTATATCAAAAGCTTTCAAAAGTAGAACAGTTTAATGTTTCGCTTGCGGTTTAAATTCTTGAGAAATAAATAATTAAAAATTGCTTTCATGCCGCAGGATACAGCTTTATTTATTTATTGGCTCGTGGTCCAGAGAAGTAAGATGGCACCTCATAATGCTTTATGTAAATACAGTAATTACAGTATTTAAATACTTCTTCAATATCCTAATACTTAATTAAAACACAATAAAGATCTTGTGCACTAGTAACAAAGTTTCATGTTAGAATGTGAAATTCTGTTTTAACTTTTCTTCCTAAACGTTTAAAATGGCTATTATTAAACACTTAGGTTGTAGGCATTGACATATATAATCAGCTAGATATATCATAAATATTAATTTTACGGTAAATACTAGCAGTGACGGGGAAAGACCTAAAGTTGATGTGGGCAAGGTACATTTCGCGAGTCCCGCTGGTGGGGCAAAAAGACGAATTTTATAAAATAGAAAGCAGTTGAAACTTCCAAATTTTTATTTATAAAAATGCAAACTGTATTCTTTGACTAACATTCTAGATATATCATAAATATTAATTTTACGGTAAATACTAGCAGTGACGGGGAAAGACCTAAAGTTGATGTGGGCAAGGTACATTTCGTGAGTCCCGCTGGTGGGGCAAAAAGACGAATTTTATAAAATAGAAAGCAGTTGAAACTGCCAAATTTTTATTTATAAAAATGCAAACTGTATTCTTTGACTAACATTAAAGAAAAATTAAAAAAAAAAAAAAATTAAAAAACAGAAATTTCTTGCTTTTAGCCTTACTGAATTACTTAATAATTCTATCGTAATTCAGCTTAGATGCTATATATGCTTCAATAAATAAAACTGCCATAGCTGAAAGTCTTTCCTAACCCATTGAATTTCTTAAATAATTTTTTTATTAGTTTTAATTAATTTTGTAAAGCTTCATTCAGTGTAGGCAGTACTTGTATTGTTGTAGGTATTGTTAACAAAATTCGAACGATAATGTAAGTATTTGGGTAAATTTTTTAAAAGTTATTTTCTGTTATGTATTGAGCGGCTGTTTCACATCTTTAATGAAGTTGGGTAAATTTGGGATCATTTTTTGTAATTCTTCATATAATTCGTAAGGTTGGAAGTCACTGCTCTCACCCATTCGCAGGGCTAAGTGTAAACATTGACAGTTTTTTAATATTTGCTCTTTTGGAATATTTTTTAATTTGGTTTGATTATAGAGAAAACCAAAATTTTCAAAATGTTGATTTTAAAGACAAATCTCGAATCCATATTATTTATTACAGAATCAATCGTGGTGTTAAAAAAAAAATCTATTTAATACCGGCTTTTCGGAGACTGTATAGGTTGATCGCTGTTTTCATAATCGAACATCATTTTCTTTTTGGCTATATTTTTATTTTTAAAGTCTTTTGGCAGTTCATAACTGCTATTCTTAATAAATTGACGAGCGTCAAACAAGCATTTTTCGAATCCAGTTTGTCGACATTCTTTGATCCAGTCACAAAATGTATGCAAATGTTCAAGAGCAATGATTAAATTTACTTGTACAGATTGCCATAATTTGCTTATGATATTAACACGCGATAATATCTCATACCACACATGTAATGGTATGATAATTTCTGAACTGAGTATTTCGTTTAAAACCGAATCACAATCACTGAGTGTGTCTGATAGTCCGTTTGATGTTTTAAGCTTTCGAATCATTCAACAACATCATCAAATTGGAATAATACGGCTTTCACTGCCTCGATTCTGCTTTCCCACCTTGTGTCTGATATAGGCTTCATAGTAGGCTTTAATTTGCCTTTGATTACTTTCCAGCGTTTGCTGGATCTTGAAAATAGCAAATAAATTTTCTGAATAAAACCAAAAAGTGTTTTTGCTGCTACAGAAGAATTAGCTGTGTCCTCCGACAGCAGATTCCAGCTATGACAACCGCAGGGTGTAAAAAATGCTCTGGGAATAATATTTAATATTCGAGTTTTAACTCCACTATTTACGCCTATCATATTTTTTATTATAACCTCCACTATTTACGCATTTTTTTCTAGCTCTCTCAGTATTGCATTAGTTAAATATTCTCCAGTAGTCTCATTGACAGCAAGAAATCCGAAAAAGTTTTCGTCTATTGTGCCGGTTAATGTATTATAAAATATTAAGATAACTGACATTTGTTCAACTTTACTACAGTCTCCAGTGCAGTCGAGCAAAATAGAATAATATGTTTCCTCTTTTACCCTACGAATCACTTCATCGGTAACTGTTTTTGACATCTATGTGATCAATTCATTTTGAATATCATGGCTTAGATAATGTTGTTCAAGTTCTCAGTACAGGTACCGTTGTTTTTCTTCACATCACAAACAAAATTTCAAAAAGTTCTCAACATAAAACAGTTCTTTCTTCATTACTTAGATTTGACCTGCAACTACAAACTTTAAACAAAAATCATTTGTTGGTAGTTGAATGGTTCTTTATTAACTTTAGTTCTATGTACCGGACCGATCAATATACACTACCTATTTATTTAATAACTATTAATCGTTTTCAAAGAATGAACCATACTTATTCTCACATCAAATACCTTCAGAAAGACAAAATAATATCACGTATGTACTGCGCAAGAGTGCGTGCGATACTTTGATTAGATTTCTAGCCATTGAGAAGCATGAAAGTAACGTAAACAAACAGAATGGGAAATTCCCCAGCTCTGGCTGGCGGGGATTATCCACGATAGAAACTCAACCTCAGCAAATGTCGCTAGACTAAATAAAAACAGATTTGGTATGTCAATATATTTATCGTTTTATGATGAGTAAAAGTTTTTCGTAGCGTTCATGGCTTTTAAGTAAAGCATAAAGCTTCGAGGTGCGAAGCTCCTCGGACCGCGAGGCCGTAGGAGGTGGCCCAAGTCGCCCACGCCTTACGCCTCCTTTGAATACTACAAAACACAGCAGTAGAGATATTTTACAACCGCAGGCATAAATTTACATAAAAAAACAATAAACTGTTACTCAACGAGTGAAGTGAGATTTTTTAACCTTAAAAAATCTCTATATGCCATATAGTTAATCCATGGAACTCCCCTCGCTGTTATGGTTGAATTTCAACTTCATAAAACTAATTTGTTCATTAAGACACAGCTTTCAAATTATCCTCATCCAGACGAATCGCCATGTATTATCTGAAACAATATATAAAAAATTTAGCAATTTGTTATACTGAACGCATATAAATTTGTTGTATATCATTTATATTGTGCAAAAGTTAATAATCCAAAAACAGCTACCCTTTAAGGACTTATCCCGAGATATCTCAGGAAAGTTCTATAGCGTTACATAAAACGCGGGCGTTTGGACCCTCTGAAATTTTTTTTTTCAACTTTTGGATGTTTTTTAGGTCTCCAAATTTTTTCAAAAATTTTTACCCGCGCGAAAAAATTTAATCGCGATTTTAATTTACCTTTAATGACGCGCGATTAACGCTTAATTGTTTTTTAATGCGATTTTTTAAATCAAATTTAATTAATCGTTCTAAAGTTGTAGTGCACGGATTTTACTTCGATAAAGTTATTTAAAGCTACTTTCTGATATGAAAAACGACCTCCAATAGTTTTTTTAATTTTTTTAATTAATAGATTTTATTATATATAAGTTTAATTAAGTCGGGGGAGTCGGAAATTGCAATAAAAATTTTAATTTTTTAAAAATATTTAAAAATATACGGCCAGCTAGTATTCATCCTACTTTAAACCCTTGTCCTCCTGAGATGTCTATGAGAATGTCCCGGGAAATCCAACACCAGATGTTCTCAAGATCATCCAGCTGTGTAAACAATGACTCATCGATGTCAAATTTCGCAGAAAGGAGAGACAATGAAAAATGAAGCTTTTTCTTCAAAATTAACGCATTTCTTTCGTTTTTTCAGTTTTAAGTCTTTTTTATGTTTAATTACATTAATATAAAAAATTGGAATGTCTCAAAGGATTTAACCAACAGATTTCGGAAATTTTTAATTTTTTTTTTTAAGAAGCGAGTTTTGATATTAATATTGATGATTATATGAGAGACTTAAATGTTTTATGCATTTCTTTATTATTAATTTATAAGTCGAAAGGCTCAATGCAGGCATCGAGACATACTGTATTGCAAATAAAAATAACAATATACTGAATATTATACTATAAAAATATAAAATAATTTGTATTGTTAATTCAAATAATAGCTAGGGGCGCCCCTAGTGGCCATTTGTCATATATCGAGAGAAAGAAAGAAAAAAATCTGGTTTTTCAGCTTTATATAGTTAAATTATACAGTTATAAAAATTTATCACAAGATGGCGGCGTAATCGCCTACCTGTAGCCAAATTCTTTTGTATCCGATTATTAATTAGCCTAAATAAAGCCCGATAAAAAAATCCATAAGATTGTTTTAAGTCAGATGTCGTTTATCAAAACTGTAACGTAACGATGTTTAGAATGAAATTATTTATGTAGAAAATCTACGAACATATTAATAAAATCATCAAAGTATCATCAAAGTATCATCAAAGTTTTTAGTTACATATAGAGTTTTTCAAACGGGGTCCCAGTATCACGGCTGTTTTTTCAATCAAACCGAAAAATATCCTGCAAATTTCTTAAAGTTTACCTTTTAACGATATAAATTCGTCAGAAAGGTAAGCTGTATATCAATACTAATATTATAAAGAGGTAAAGTTTGTAAGTTTGGATGTATGGAATAATCTTCGAAAGTATTCATCTGATTTCAAAAATTTTTCCACCAGTATTTAGAATGGAACTTTTGGGTGGACATAGGCTGTATATTATTAAGTTAAACATTCATATAAATTAAAATATATTATCTAGGATTAAAGCTTTTATGTCCAACAGATGGTGCTAACTCCGCGAGTACGACGTCCTAAGTTTGCTTTTCTGTGAGGATGAACTAAAGCAGATCATCTTCTTTCTATCTATATAAATAAAAATGTAATGTTCGTTTGTTCCTACCGATTCCTTTGAAATTTTGACACAACGCTGCACAGTATACATGTCGATATTCCCCTTACTTTACGGGGGAGATGGACAGGATTAAGGCTTAATGAAGAACTCTGCTTCTATTTATACTATTTTAGATGCGGTTTTTGCGTTTTTGATTGCGTTTTAATACGGTACGTCAACAGAATGTACACTAAGAAGAGATTTTTCGAAAAAATTTCCTCCACGGGGAAGTGTTTTATATTTATAATAGATACTTTTTGAGCCACAACAACGCGTGGCGGGGTCTGCTAGTTAGTTCAATAAAATTTGATGAGTGTATTAAATTCATAGAAAACTTAATTTCAAGCATTATAAATTCATATTTCTCATCAGATTATCTTGCTGTCACTCGGAAAATTGAAATTATCTCTGTATAATGTTTACCTTAAATATTAATATTACTATAAGTAATAGATATGTATATATATATATCCATGGTGCGGTTTTCTTTACATTCCTTTTAAAATCAATTTTTCAAAAATATTTCCTCAAAAAATTGATGAAAGTTTCATGGGTTAATTATACAGAAATAACCACCGTTTTTTTTTGTCTGGACTGCATTTAATCAGAGACAATAGCTTATCTTCGTATTCTTTATGAAGTTTTTATCAATTTTTTGAGGAAATATTTTTGAAAAATTGATTTTAAAAGGAATTAATATTACTGTTTAAATACAGCATTGAGAATTAAGATTTAACTATATACATGTATTTATAGGTTCTTAGAGTTAGCCGGATTTATTATTATTTTTTATAATTTTAATTAGTAAAATTTCGAATTTAAATTTTAAAATAAATATTTTAAATTTAAATGTACGATGAACAGAACAAAATATTGATTTCTTCCCATTCTACGTTATTCAATACGAATTTATTTTCCCGCATCGATCGCTAGATTCATAAATGGTTATGTAAGCCAACAAGGAATTCGAATTAAATTTAATCGTATTGCAGTTTAATATTTAACGATTTTTCAAAATCTTAAACGAAACGTGTCACATAACAATTATTATTTTATAATCTTAATTAACTAGAAATATATTCAAATTGTAAATAATTATAATATTTTAGTTCATACGCATATTAACTTTATGTGTATTAAATACATAAAAGTAACATAAATTTCAAAAGAGAAGAATAAGTAAACAAATATAAATCGAATCTAGATTAAAAGCAACATTCATGCTATAACAATATCGAGTATATTAAATCTTTTTATATCTGTACGTCAATAATTTCTGATTATTACACATTTTAATAATTTTCTGCTTTTAATAAATCTAGATACACTTAAAATAATGTTGTTTGATCTCATTGCAGTCCTAAACGAACAATCTTATAAAAGATAATTGTCTGTAAAAAATAAACATAATCATAATTGAGACAATCCGTTTCGTAGCAATGAGATACCCCATGTTGATAAATCGATTATTCACAAAGTATGGCCGTAATAACTACATTAAAACTGATTCTTGTCGTCGTTGTCTTCGTCTAATAAGCAGAGGTCACAACATTAAAGAAAGACGTTCCAGGAAACAAAGGATTTCGTGTATATTTTCATTTTGAAATATACCTCCCCTACGAGTCTAAACTCCATACGGTTCCTAATACTCCATGCAGTTACCTATAACTGTACACGATCGGATTCGAATTCTTGCAAACAACTCTAGGAATATTTCGGTGTGTCGTCTGTATCGCTCTTTGTCGGGTCCAATTCCTAATCTACCAATTTACCTTTATTGTGTGCATGGCTAAACTGACGGTCGGTACAATTAAAACGGCTATATAAAGCTGATAGAATAGAAAAGATAAAAGCCGTTATAATATTTATATTTAATATTAATATATCTGGTTTCCACATAAAAAATAATAATAAATATATTATTAGATATATTTATATATACTCATTCCGTCTTTCCGTTCCGTGAACTAAAAAGCTCTTTTTCAGTACCGAAGGGTGAGGGATTGGGTAAAACCAATGAACACTGTTAGTAGGGTCGAAGGTTAACCTTCGACCAAAGGCTGGCCTTCGGCCGAAGGCTGAGCAAAGGTTGACCAAAGGCTGGCCTTGTGCAGTTTTCCAGTGTTATTTTATCAGTCTAACATTTAAACAGGGTTTGTTCTCCATTGAAATTCTCTCTGAAAACGGTTTTTTTTTTGTCTGATCGCCCTTACATTGCATTGCCTTATTCCAACAATCCAATTTTTCATACCGATCAAGTAAGTTCGAGCAGGTATATAAGAGAAGCAACCGAATAGTGGGAGACAGAACCTTATCTATCTGAAACACACCACACATTAAAACTTTCCGAGTAATTACTTGTCCGGATTCCACTCTGAGTCCCTAAAATGAAAGGTTGAACACCGTCTCGATGTTAATAGAAGATATTTAAAACATTAAAGTAACAAATTGATTAATGAGCAATGACTATATAACTTATCAATTACGAAATTAAAATTTCATCATCATTTAGCGTCAGTTGTAGTGGTTAAACGTAATTAGCTTTTGTTTACTATCCTAGAATTCTTAATGCTCAGATTCCGTGCGAAAACATAATATGCTATATATACATATATCTATTTAGTATATTGGTACTACAATATATAGTATATTGGTGCTATTGTATGTATATGGTATATTACGTTTTCACACGGAATCAGACCATTATATTCATTGATTGTCCTTGGATTCTATAAAAAGAATCTACGACGACTGACAAATTAAAAATCACGTTTAGAATTCACATTCGCTCAAACGATCGTAATACGACAATGACGTAATATTGCATTTTAAACGTTTCAGTCGTTTTATTTTACAGACACACGTAACACCTTGACGTTAGACTTTAACAATCCAAGGAACGTAGAATTTAAATTTCTACTTATTTTTCTATAAAATTACGAAATAATGGAAAATTTTTTGGCAAAGATTGAAGCCGAAGATGATGAGTATAGCAGAAAAAGAAAAAATATGAGCACAGAAGCAGAGATATGTTTGAAATGCCTTTTATCTTCGTTTACATCTATAGGAAGAGTTTACGGTTATACATTTTTCATTCCTTGTTCCTGCCACAACCGAAACGATGTTAATGTTCACCCAATTATAACAAAATTTTAT